GCCCCATTCTTACGCTTTCCATCACCCCACCCCATTCTCCCTCTTTCCATCACCCCGCCCTATTCTCCCGCTTTCCATCACCCCGCCCCATTCTCCCTCTATCCATCACCCCGCCCAATTCTCCCACTTTCCATCACCCCATCCCATTCTCCCGTTTTCCATCACCCCGTCCCATTCTCTCGCTTTCCATCACCCCGCCTTATTCTCCCGCTTTCCATCACCCCGCCCCATTCTCCCGATTTCCATCACCCCGCCCCATTCTCCCGATTTCCATCACCCCGCCCCATTCTCCCGCTTTCCAACACCCTGCCCCATTCTCCCGCTTTCCATCACCCCACCCCATTCTCACTCTTTCCATCACCCCTCCCCATTCTCCCTCTTTCCATCACCCCGCCCCATTCTCCATCTTTCCATCACCTTGCCCAATTCTCCCCCTTTCCATCACCCCGCCCCATTCTCCCGCCTTCCATCACCCCGCCCCATTCTCCCTCTTTCCATCACCCCGCCCCATTCTCCCGCTTTCCATCACCCCGCCCCATTTTCCCGATTTCCATCACCCCGCCCCATTCTCCCGCTTTCCATCACCCCGCCCCATTCTCCCGCTTTCCATCACCCTGCCCCATTCTCCCGCTTTCCATTACCCAACCCCATTCTCCCGCTTTCCATCACCCCGCCCCATTCTCCCGCTTTCCATCACCCCGCCCCATTCTCACTCTTTCCATCACCCCGCCCCATTCTCCCGCATTCCATCACCCCGCCCCATTTTCCCTCGTTCCATCACCCCGCTCCATTCTCCCGCTTTCCATCACCCCGCCCAATTCTCCCTCTTTCCATCACCCCTCCCCATTCTCCCTCTTTCCATCACCCCGCCCCATTCTCCCGCTTTCCATCACCCCGCCCCATTCTCCCTCTTTCCATCACCCCGCCCCATTCTCCCTCTTTCCATCACCCCGCCCCATTCTCCCGCTTTCCATCACCCCGCCCCATTCTCCCTCTTTCCATCACCCCGCCCCATTCTCCCGCTTTCCATCACCCCGCCCCATTCTCCCTCTTTCCATCACCCCGCTCCATTCTCCCGCTTTCCATCACCCCGCCCAATTCTCCCCATTTCCATCACCCCTCCTCATTCTCCCTCTTTTCATCACCCCGCCCCATTCTCCCGCTTTCCACCACCCGGCTCCATTCTCCCGCTTTCCATCACCCCGCCCAATTCTCCCGCTTTCCATCACCACGCCCCATTTTCCCTCTTTCCATCACCCCGCCCCATTCTCCCGCTTTCCATCACCCCGCCCCATTCTCCCGCTTTCCATCACCCCGCTCCATTCTCCCGCTTTCCATCACCCCGCCCAATTCTCCCTCTTTCTATCACCCCTCTCCATTCTCCCTCTTTCCATCACCCCGCCCCATTCTCCCGCTTTCCATCACCCCGCCCCATTCTCCCTCTTTCCATCACCCCGCCCCATTCTCCCTCTTTCCATCACCCCGCCCCATTTTCCCGCTTTCCATCACCGCGCCCCATTCTCCCTCTTTCTATCACCCCGCCCCATTCTCCCGCTTTCCATCACCCCGCTCCATTCTCCCGCTTTCCATCACCCCGCCCAATTCTCCCTCTTTCCATCACCCCTCCCCATTCTCCCTCTTTCCATCAACCCGCCCCACTCTCCCGCTTTCCATCACTCCGCCCCATTCTCCCTCTTTCCATCACCCCGCCCCATTCTCTCGCTTTCCATCACCCCGCCCCATTCTCCCTCTTTCCATCACCCTGCCCCATTCTCCCGCTTTCCATCACCCGCCCCATTCTCCCGCTTTCCATCATCCCGCCCCATTCTCCCTCTATCCATCACCCCGCCCCCTTCTCCCGCCTTCCATCACCCCGCCCCATTCTCCCGCTTTCCATCACCCTGCCCCATTCTCCCGCTTTCCATCACCCCACCCCATTCTCTCGATTTGCATCACCCCGCCCCATTCTCCCGCCTTCCATCACCCCGCCCCATTCTCCCTCTTTCCATCACCCCGCCCCATTCTCCCGCTTTCTATCACCCCGCCCCATTCTCCCTCTTTCTATCACCCCGCCCCATTCTTCCGCTTTCCATCACCCCGCCCGCTTTCCATCACCCCGCTCCATTCTCCCGCTTTCCATCACCCCTCCCAATTCTCCCTCTTTCCATCACCCCTCCCCATTCTCCCTCTTTCCATCAAACCGCCCCATTCTCCCGCTTTCCATCACCGCGGCCCATTCTCCCTCTTTCCATCACCCCGCCCCATTCTCTCGCTTTCCATCACCCCGCCCCATTCTCCCTCTTTCCATCACCCCGCCCCATTCTCCCGCTTTCCATCACCCGCCCCATTCTCCCGCTTTCCATCACCCTGCCCCATTCTCCCTCTTTCCATCACCCCGCCCCATTCTCCCGCCTTCCATCACCCCGCCCCATTCTCCCGCTTTCCATCACCCCGCCCCATTCTCCCGCTTTCCATCACCCCACCCCATTCTCCCGATTTGCATCACCCCGCCCCATTCTCCCGCCTTCAATCACCCCGCCCCATTCTCCCTCTTTCCATCACCCCGCCCCATTCTCCCGCTTTCCATCACCCCGCCCCATTCTCCCTCTTTCCATCACCCCGCCCCATTCTCCCTCTTTCCATCACACCACCCCATTCTCCCGCTTTCCATCACCTCGCCCTATTTTCTCTCTTTCCATCACCCCGCCCCATTCTCCCGCTTTCCATCACCCCGCCCCATTCTCCCGCTTTCCATCACCCGCCCCATTCTCCCGCTTTCCATCATCCCGCCCCATTCTCCCTCTATCCATCACCCCGCCCCCTTCTCCCGCCTTCCATCACCCCGCCCCATTCTCCCGCTTTCCATCACCCTGCCCCATTCTCCCGCTTTCCATCACCCCACCCCATTCTCTCGATTTGCATCACCCCGCCCCATTCTCCCGCCTTCTATCACCCCGCCCCATTCTCCCTCTTTCCATCACCCCGCCCCATTCTCCCTCTTTCTATCACCCCGCCCCATTCTCCCTCTTTCTATCACCCCGCCCCATTCTTCCGCTTTCCATCACCCCGCCCGCTTTCCATCACCCCGCTCCATTCTCCCGCTTTCCATCACCCCGCGCAATTCTCCCTCTTTCCATCACCCCTCCCCATTCTCCCTCTTTCCATCAAACCGCCCCATTCTCCCGCTTTCCATCACCCCGCCCATTCTCCCTCTTTCCATCACCCCGCCCCATTCTCTCGCTTTCCATCATCCCGCCCCATTCTCCCTCTTTCCATCACCCCGCCCCATTCTCCCGCTTTCCATCACCCGCCCCATTCTCCCGCTTTCCATCACCCTGCCCCATTCTCCCTCTTTCCATCACCCCGCCCCATTCTCCCGCCTTCCATCACCCCGCCCCATTCTCCCGCTTTCCATCACCCCGCCCCATTCTCCCGCTTTCCATCACCCCGGCCCATTCTCCCTCTTTCCATCACCCCGCCCCATTCTCTCGCTTTCCATCACCCCGCCCCATTCTCCCTCTTTCCATCACCCCGCCCCATTCTCCCGCTTTCCATCACCCGCCCCATTCTCCCGCTTTCCATCACCCTGCCCCATTCTCCCTCTTTCCATCACCCCGCCCCATTCTCCCGCCTTCCATCACCCCGCCCCATTCTCCCGCTTTCCATCACCCCGCCCCATTCTCCCGCTTTCCATCACCCCACCCCATTCTCCCGATTTGCATCACCCCGCCCCATTCTCCCGCCTTCCATCACCCCGCCCCATTCTCCCTCTTTCCATCACCCCGCCCTATTCTCCCGCTTTCCATCACCCCGCCCCATTCTCCCTCTTTCCATCACCCCGCCCCATTCTCCCTCTTTCCATCACACCACCCCATTCTCCCGCTTTCCATCACCTCGCCCTATTTTCTCTCTTTCCATCACCCCGCCCCATTCTCCCGCTTTCCATCACCCCGCCCCATTCTCCCGCTTTCCATCACCCCGCTCCATTCTCCCGCTTTCCATCAACCCGCCCAATTCTCCCTCTTTCCATCACCCCTCCCCATTCTCCCGCTTTCCATCACCCCGCCCTATTCTCCCGCTTTCCATCACCCAGGCCCATTCTCCCGCTTTCCATCACCCCGCCCCATTCTCTTGCTTTCCATCACCCCTCCCCATTCTCCCGCTGTCCATCACCCCGCCCCATTCTCCCGCTTTCCATCACCCCGCCCCATTCTCCCGCTTTCCATCACCCTGCCCATTCTCCCTCTTTCCATCACCCCGCCCCATTCTCCCTCTTTCCATCACTCCGCCCCATTCTCCCTCTATCCATCACCCCGTCCAATTCTCCCGCTTTCCATCACCCCGTCCCATTCTCCCGCTTTCCATCACCCGCCCCGTTCTCCCGCTTTCCATCACCCCGCCCCATTCTCCCGCTTTCCATCAATCCGCCCCATTCTCCCGCTTTCCATCATCCCGCCCCATTCTCCCGCTTTCCATAACCCCGCCCTATTCTCCCGCTTTCCATCACCCCGCCCCATTCTCCCGATTTCCATCACCCCGCCCCTCTCCCGCTTTCCATCACTCCGCCCCATTCTCCCGGGTTCCATCACCCCGCTGCATTCTCCCGCTTTCCATCACCCCGCCCAATTATCCCTCTTTCCATCACCCCTCCCCATTCTCCCTCTTTCCATCACCCCGCCCCATTCTCCCGCTTTCCATCACCCCGCCCCATTCTCCCTCTTTCCATCACCCCGCCCCATTCTCCCTCTTTCCATCACCCCGCTCCATTCTCCCGCTTTCCATCACCCCGCCCAATTCTCCCTCTTTCCATCACCCCTCATCATTCTCCCTCTTTCCATCACCCCGCCCCATTCTCCCGCTTTCCATCACCCCGCCCAATTCTCCGGCTTTCCATCACCCCGCCCCATTCTCCCGCTTTCCATCACCCCACCAGCCAGTTGAGTTGCTCCCAGCACCCCCACCAGCCAGGTGAGTTGCTCCCAGCACCCCCACCAGCCAGGTCAGTTGCTCCCAGCACCCCCACCAGCCAGGCGAGTTGCTCCCAGCACCCCCACCAGCCAGGTGAGTTGCTCCCTGCACCCCCACCAGCCAGGCGAGTTGCTCTCAGCACCCCCCACCAGCCAGGCGAGTTGCTCCCAGCACCCCCACCAGCCAGTTGAGTTGCTCCCAGCACCCCCACCAGCCAGTTGAGTTGCTCCCAGCACCCCCACCAGCCACGTGAGTTGCTCCCAGCACCCCCACCAGCCAGGCGAGTTGCTCCCAGCACCTGCACCAGCCAGGTGAGTTGCTCCCAGCACTTCCACCAGCCAGGCGAGTTGCTCACAGCACCCCCACCAGCCAGGCGAGTTGCTTCCAGCACCCCCGGCGAGTTGCTCCCAGCACCCCCACCAGCCAGGCGAGTTGCTCCTAGCACCCCCACCAGCAAGTTGAGTTGCTCCCAGCACCCCCACCAGCCAGTTGAGTTGCTCCCAGCACCCCCACCAGCCAGGTGAGTTGCTCCTAGCACCCCCGCCATCCAGTTGAGTTGCTCCCAGCACCCCCACTATCCAGTTGAGTTGCTCCTAGCACCCCCACCAGCCAGGTGAGTTGCTCCTAGCACCCCCACCAGCCAGGCGAGTTGCTCCCAACACCCCCACCAGCTAGGCGAGTTGCTCCCAACACCCCCACCAGCCAGGCGAGTTGCTCCTAGCACCCCCACCAGCCAGGCGAGTTGCTCCCAGCACCCCCACCAGCCAGGTGAGTTGCTACCAGCACCCCCACCAGCCAGGTGAGTTGCTCCCAGCACCCCCACCAGCCAGGGGAGTTGCTCCCAGCACCCCCACCAGCCAGGCGAGTTGCTCCCAGCACCCCCACCAGCCATTCGAGTTGCTCCTAGCACCCCCACCAGCCAGGTGAGTTGCTCCCAGCACCCCCACCGGCTAGGCCAGTTGCTCCCAGCACCCGCACCAGCCAGGCGAGTTGCTCCCAGCACCCCCACCATCCAGGTGAGTTGCTCCCAGCACCCCCACCAGCCAGACGAGTTGCTCCGAGCACCCCCACCAGCCAGGCGAGTTGCTCCCAACACCCCCACCAGCCAGGCGAGTTGCTCCCAGCACCCCCACCAGCCAGGTGAGTTGCTCCCAGCACCCCCACCAGCCAGACGAGTTGCTCCCAGCACCCCCACCAGCCAGGCGAGTTGCTCCCAACACCCCCACCAGCAAGGCGAGTTGCTCCCAGCACCCCCACCAGCCAGGCGAGTTGCTCCCAGCACCCCCACCAGCCAGGTGAGTTGCTCCTAGCACCCCCACCAGCCAGGCGAGTTGCTCCCAGCACCCCCACCAGCCAGGTGAGTTGCTCTCAGCACCCCCACCGGCCAGGCCAGTTGCTCCCAGCACCCCCACCAGCCAGGCGAGTTGCTCCCAGCACCCCCACCAGCCAGGCGAGTTGCTCCCAGCACCCCCACCAGCCAGGCGAGTTGCTCCCAGCACCCCCACCAGCTAGGTGAGTTGCTCCCAGCACCCCCACCAGCCAGGTGAGTTGCTCCCAGCACCCCCACCAGCCAGGCGAGTTGCTCCCACCACCCCCACCAGCCAGGCGAGTTGCTCCCAGCACCCCCACCAGCCAGGCGAGTTGCTCCCAGCACCCCCACCAGCCAGGCGAGTTGCTACTAGCACCCCCACCAGCCAGGCGAGTTGCTCCCAGCACCCCCACCGGCCAAGCGAGTTGCTCCCAGCACCCCCACCAGCCAGGCGAGTTGCTCCCAGCACCCCCACCAGACAGGTGAGTTGCTCCCAGCTCCCCCACCGGCCAGGCGAGTTGCTCACAGCACCCCCACCAGCCAGGCAAGTTGCTCCTAGCACCCCCACCAGCCAAGCAAGTTGCTCCCAGCACCCCCGCCAACCAGGCGAGTTGCTCCCAGCACCCCCACCAGCCAGGTGAGTTGCTCCCTGCACCCCCACCAGCCAGACGAGTTGCTCCCAGCACCCCCACCAGCCAGGTGAGTTGCTACCAGCACCCCCACCAGCCAGGTGAGTTGCTCCCAGCACCCCCACCAGCCAGGGGAGTTGCTCCCAGCACCCCCACCAGCCAGGCGAGTTGCTCCCAGCACCCCCACCAGCCATTCGAGTTGCTCCTAGCACCCCCACCAGCCAGGTGAGTTGCTCCCAGCACCCCCACCGGCTAGGCCAGTTGCTCCCAGCACCCGCACCAGCCAGGCGAGTTGCTCCCAGCACCCCCACCATCCAGGTGAGTTGCTCCCAGCACCCCCACCAGCCAGACGAGTTGCTCCGAGCACCCCCACCAGCCAGGCGAGTTGCTCCCAACACCCCCACCAGCCAGGCGAGTTGCTCCCAGCACCCCCACCAGCCAGGTGAGTTGCTCCCAGCACCCCCACCAGCCAGACGAGTTGCTCCCAGCACCCCCACCAGCCAGGCGAGTTGCTCCCAACACCCCCACCAGCAAGGCGAGTTGCTCCCAGCACCCCCACCAGCCAGGCGAGTTGCTCCCAGCACCCCCACCAGCCAGGTGAGTTGCTCCTAGCACCCCCACCAGCCAGGCGAGTTGCTCCCAGCACCCCCACCAGCCAGGTGAGTTGCTCTCAGCACCCCCACCGGCCAGGCGAGTTGCTCCCAGCACCCCCACCAGCCAGGCGAGTTGCTCCCAGCACCCCCACCGGCCAGGCCAGTTGCTCCCAGCACCCCCACCAGCCAGGCGAGTTGCTCCCAGCGCCCCCACCAGCCAGGCAAGTTGCTCCCAGCACCCCCACCAGCCAGGCGAGTTGCTCCCAGCACTCCCACCAGCCAGACGAGTTGCTCCCAGCGCCCCCACCAGCCAGTTGAGTTGCTCCCAGCACCCCCACCAGCCAGGCGAGTTGCTCCCAGCACCCCCACCAGCCAGTTGAGTTGCTCCCAGCACCCCCACCAGCTAGTCGAGTTGCTCCCAGCACCCCCACCAGCCAGGCGAGTTGCTCCCAGCACCCCCACCAGCCAGACGAGTTGCTCCCAGCACCCGCACCCGCCAGGCGAGTTGCTCCCAGCACCCCCACCAGCCAAGCGAGTTGCTCCCAGCACCCCCACCAGCCAGGTGAGTTGCTCCCAGCACCCCCACCAGCCAGACGAGTTGCTCCCAGCACCCCCACCAGCCAGGCGAGTTGCTCCCAACACCCCCACCAGCCAGGCGAGTTGCTCCCAGCACCCCCACCGGCTAGGCGAGTTGCTCCCAGCACCCGCACCAGTCAGGCGAGTTGCTCCCAGCACCCCCATTATCCAGGTGAGTTGCTCCCAGCACCCCCACAAGCCAGACGAGTTGCTCCGAGCACCCCCACCAGCCAGGCGAGTTGCTCCCAACACCCCCACCAGCCAGGCGAGTTGCTCCCAGCACCCCCACCAGCCAGGTGAGTTGCTCCCAGCACCCCCACCAGCCAGACGAGTTGCTCCCAGCACCCCCACCAGCCAGGCGAGTTGCTCCCAACACCCCCACCAGCCAGGCAAGTTGCTCCCAGCACCCCCACCAGCCAGTCGAGTTGCTCCCAGCACCCCCACCAGCCAGTTGAGTTGCTCCCAGCACCCCCACCAGCCAGGTGAGTTGCTCTCAGCACCCCCACCGGCCAGGCGAGTTGCTCCCAGCACCCCCACCAGCCAGGCGAGTTGCTCACAGCACCCCCACCAGCCAGGCGAGTTGCTCCCAGCACCCCCACCAGCCAAGCGAGTTGCTCCCAGCACCCCCACCAGCCAGGTGAGTTGCTCCTAGCACCCCCACCAGCCAGGTGAGTTGCTCCCAGCACCCCCACCAGCCAGGCGAGTTGCTCCTAGCACCCCCACCAGCCAGGTGAGTTGCTCCCAGCACCCCCACCAGCCAGGCGAGTTGCTCCCACCACCCCCACCAGCCAGGCGAGTTCCTCCCAGCACCCCCACCAGCCAGGGGAGTTGCTCCCAGCACCCCCACCAGCCAGGCGAGTTGCTCCCAGCACCCCCACCAGCCAGGCGAGTTGCTCCCAGCACCCCCACCGGCCAAGCGAGTTGCTCCCAGCACCCCCACCAGCCAGGCGAGTTGCTCCCAGCACCCCCACCAGACAGGTGAGTTGCTCCCAGCACCCCCACCAGCCAGGTGAGTTGCTCCCAGCACCCCCACCAGCCAGGTCAGTTGCTCCCAGCACCCCCACCAGCCAGGCGAGTTGCTCCCAGCACCCCCACCAGCCAGGTGAGTTGCTCCCTACACCCCCACCAGCCAGGCGAGTTGCTCTCAGCACCCCCACTGTCACCGAATATGTACGTTTGTGCATATAAGGTGCCAGTATGATTGTGGTGTAGAAAGGGTGTAGTAATGTGTTGTATTTGTTGTATGCAGGCTCAAGGATGGGTAGGTGGGAGGCTGGGAAATTGACGCGAAGTTGGTAGGAGAACACCAGGGGGTGAAATCCTCGCGACCAATGGGAACAAACCCAACCCAGGCTCAAGCCGCACATTGAGCAATGCACGGCTCGAGCCAGGGACAGGTAAGTTCACTCTCACACACACACACAATGCTTTCTGTTTGTTATCCTTTCGTATAGTGGACAGTTGTTACCTCAGATTTGCCTACAGGTGGCACACCACTCAGAGAGGACCTTTGAGGTGAGAGTTACCACTCTTTCATAACAAACAGAAAGTGCGCGTGCAAGCATGGATGTGCACGAGTTGCGTTATGGCAGGAAGTACGATCGTCGTGAGGGTGATCGCTCGCGGCGGGAGCGCTCACGAGAGCGCGGGCGTTCGCTAGAGAGGTCGCCGCGGAGGCCTGACCGCTCGCCGCGGAGGCCTGAGCGCTCGCCGCGGAGGCCGGCTTTTCGCGTTGATCTGGTCCCTCTCGCGCCAGATCGCCGTGAAGAAGGTGCAGAGCGCGAAGGAAGAGGCGGATCCGAGTCCGTCAGGATGGGAAGTGACCCGTGGCGGACGGATACGCACCACGGGGCTGGTGGCGAATGCGGACATCGCCACGACACGGGAGCGTATCGCTCGCCGGACGAAGGTTACCGCCGTCGCGAAGATCGCAGTCGCGGGCGTGGCCTGGAGGAGCTATTCTCTGGTCGGCAAGGAGATCTCGATGTGGATGGGGAGGGCGAGGTCGATATGGCGGAGAAGCCGCAGGAAATGGATCTCGAGAGTGAAGCGAAGGGCGATGACGAGGCCCATGAGGAAGGCGCGGGCGAGCAGCGCGATATGCACGCCGAAGTCAAGGAAGCCAGTCCGATGCTGGCGAGCGAGGAGGCTGCGCCAGGCGCGGCAGAAATAGGCGGGAAGGATGGTGCGCGGAACCAGACGCGTGGTGAAGAAGGCAACGACGACAGGAGGCGTAGCCGTGGATCGCGCTCGCCGACCCCCCATCAGCACCACGACCAGAATCATGGTGGCGAGAGGCATGCGTCAGATCCGCGGCTGCAGCAAGACAAGAGGCGCGACGGCGGGCATCGCTCGCCAGATCCGCGGCTGCAGCGTGACGAGAGGCGCGGCGGCGACCATCGCTCGCCAGATCCGCGGCGGCAGCGTGACGAGAGGCGTGGCGGCGACCATCGCTCGCCAGATCCGCGGCTGCAGCGTGACGAGAGGCGCGGCGGCGACCATCGCTCGCCAGATCCGCGGCTGCGGCGTGACGAGAGGCGCGGCGGCGGCTACCGCTCGCCAGATCCGCGGCGGCAGCGCGAGGACAGACGTGACGGCGGCAACCGCTCGCCAGATTCGCGGCAGCAGCGTGAGGACAGGCGCGACGGCGGCTACCGCTCGACTGATGTGCGGCAGTGGCACGACGAAATGCGCGGAAGTGGTCACCACTTGCCAGATCCACGGCAGCGTCGTGGGGAGGAGCGCGGAGACAGCACGCGTTCACCAGATCCGCGGAGGTATCACGGCGGGAGGAGCGAGAGGGGCTCACGCTCACCAGATCTGCAGCGCTATCATGATGGGAGGAGCAGAGATGTCCAGCGCTCGCCTGACGCGCAACGGTATCCTGGAGGAGGGTGGAGAGGCGAGGCGCGCTCGCCGGATTGGCGGCAGCAGCTTGAGGAGAGTCACGGGGGCAGACATCGCTCGCCACCGCGGCAGCGGAGCAGGGATATAAGGCAAAGCGGTGGGGCACGTTCGCCAGAGCGTTATCGGCAACATGACGAGAGGCGTGCCGGCGAAGGAGGACAAGATCTGCGCAGCAGCAGAGTGGGAGGCAGCGGGCTGATGGACAGCCTGGAGCGAGCCAGAGAGGCGAGGGAGGGAATACGGCGGGCGGGAGAGAGGGGAACGGCAGGCAGGACAGCAGAGAGATATAGTGAGGCGTGGGGAGAAGGAAAGGGAAGTACAGCCATGGTCACAAGGGTGGAAGTACCAGCACGCTTCTCTGGGGACCAGCGATTGGGGCCCACACTGAAGAATTATCTCATGCAAGTGGGCAACGTGCGGTACAGATGCGAGAGGGGCGGCATGGATGCAGTGGACTTCTTTCTGAGCCTGCCAAACACACTGGAGGGGGAGGCAGAAACGTTATACAGGATGAAGATGAATGAGCTACTGGAGAGGGCAGGAAGGTATGGGGAGGACCCAACCGAAGAATTTCTGAGGCGGCTGAAGCGGCAGTTCCCAGGCCACACTGCAGAGAAGATCAGAGAGTTTCAAGACTTTAGGAAGGGGCGGGGAGAGTCACTACTCACCTACTACAATCGGCTGGTCAACATAGCGGAGGACGTGAGCTGTGCGGACGTGGGCCTGCTTGTGAGCAAGTTCCTGGACGGCCTGGAGGGTACCTTGGGAAGCGGGCTGAGGCTGAAAGTATATGAGATGGGGGCTGAAGTGACACTTGATGAAGTGTTTGAGCTAGCTGAGAAGATGGAGATGGCCCAGAGGAAGCTTGAAGCCTACCGGCAACGACCAGCGGAGCGTGGCAGAGGACCTACATGGGCAGCAGCCATGATACCAGAGGAAAAGGAAAGGGCAGGGGGAAGAGGGGATAGCAGGACTGACGCACGAACGTGCCACCGATGCGGGCAGCCAGGGCACCTGCGCAGAGACTGCAAGAACTGCGACTCCTGTGGTAAGCCAGGGCACCGGCGGCGGGAATGCCCAACAGCTCCGAAGTGCGAAATCTGTGGGAAGGGAGGGCATGCAGCAAGGGAGTGTTATCAGCGGGAAGGAGCGGCGAAGAGGACACCAGAGGACCTGGAAAAGCAGATTGGCAGGCTGCAGGCTCAGCTGCAGGCAATGGGACCACGACGCGAGGCAGAAGCGGGGATGTACGCGGGGAAGGAAAAGGAAGAGGATGTAGAGCAAGATGAGGAGGCCGCTTTCATGAGCTGGGCAGGCAAAGCGAAGGATGAGGTGGAACACGAGGAGCAGCCAGCATACATGGCATGGAGAGGAAGGGAGGAGATGGGGCTACGCAGCGGAGGAAAGGATGCACGGAAGGACCAGGTAAGGAAGGAGCGAGAGAGAGGACAGAAACCGGAGGAGAAGGAAGAGAGGTGTACAGCGGCACGGCATCCACAGGAGCGGCTGGCGTGCCAGACTTCAGTGCTGCTGATACAAGGAGGTGCGCTGTCAGTGGAAGGGGAGAAGGCGAAGACGGCTATTATAGACACGGGCGCGCAGAGCGTGATACTAGGGAGGGGAATGGCAGAAAAACTGGGACTGTGGGCGCCGGACAGACATGTAGTGAAGGGAATGCTGGTGATGACAGCAGAGGGAGGAGAGTCAAAGTGGATGCCATGCACAAGGACTCCAATAGAACTGACGGTGCTCAAAGGAGAGAAGCACGAAACACCGGTGAGGATCAGGTGTGGGATCTCAGAATCTGAAGATTTCGACGTTTTGGTGGGCACGGAGATGATCTTTGCACTGGGCATGACCATCTGCTTTTGGAAGGAGACGGTAGAATTCAGAACCAGGTGGTGGAAGAAGGGTGAGCCACTGGGACAGCTGCCGGTGCAGTTCGTCAAGACAGAGCCAAAGCGGGCTTACAGGGCGGATCTGAAGGAGGGGGCAGCGAAGCAGGGGGCACAGGAGACCGCGAGGAACAAGGAACAGGGTGGACAGCCGAGGATGCACTTCATGGACGAGCCCAGCCAACAATCCGATTGGCAGCAACCTATCCGCCTGGTGGAACTCTTCGGGGGCATAGGGGCGGGTTTGGCAGCGGTGGTACGGAACGGGATAGCAGTGAAGCAGTGGATTTACGTAGAGAAGGCGGCAGAAGCAAGGAAAATGGCGGAGCATCATGCATGGCAGCTGCACAGCGAGTTCCCGGAGCTGTTGAAGGAAGAGGTGATCAGGGCAGCAATGAGCAGAGGAGTCAACGACGTCAGGGCCATCATAGAAGCTGAGGTGGCAAGCTGGGGGCACGTGGACCTGTTAGTGGCTGGGTGGGAGTGCCAAGGGGTATCATGGGCTGGGAAAGGCAAGGGTGAGCAAGACCTGCGAACACAGCTGATGGAGGACTTGTTCAGAGTGATGGAATGGCTGCAGGCTCAACAAGGCAGGGTGGCGTACCTGCTGGAGCATTTAGACATGGAAGGAGATGTGCGTGAGCCCATACGGCTGGTAAGGGAGCGAGTGACCAGACAGGTGGGAAAAGGGGTAAGCTGCGACGCAACACGGATGGGAGCCTACTCACACAGGCTCAGAATGTATTGGCAAAACGTGGTGCCAGCAGAAGACCTGCAGAGGGAGATAGAGGGGGTGAGAAGAGCAGGGGGGCGGAAGCTGAGCGATATACTCGAGCCTGGGCGAACACCAGCACCAGTAAGCAAGAGGAGCTACAGCCGACATTACCCTTGCAACACAGTGGGGCAAGAGAGGCAAGCACTGCCGACGCTCGTGTCATATGAAGGGGCAGCAGGGTACCAGATGGAGGGGAAGCAGCCAGGCCCAGGACTAGTGCTCGATCATAGGAAGGGAAGATGGGAAGAGCCCACGGCCCTGGAGAGGGAGCTGGCTATGGGGTACAAGGAGAACATCACAGCAGCCCCGGGCGTGACAGAGCAGGAAAGGAGGCGGGCGATGGGGAATGCAATGGATGGATACGTGATGAGGTGGTTGGTGCAGCGGATGTGGAGAGAAACGGTGCTGCACTGGGGACTGAAGGAGGGAGAAAATACAGAGGCAACGGTGAGACAAGGGGTGTGGACCTGCCTGCCAACAGCAGAGCCTGAGTGGAAGATAGGAGAGAGCATGAGCGAGGGAGGGAAGACAGCGATGCTGGCACTACTGGTCAAGCACAGGAAAGGCTTCGCTTTCACCCTGCAGGAGTTGGGGAAGTGCAAGATCAAGGAGATGGCATTGAAGCTGAACAGTGAAGAGCCGGTGTTCCATCGCAGAAGAAAGATGCCACCAGGGGATGAGGCGATCTGCAAGGAGAAAGTACAGGAGTTGCTGGAAGCAGGACTGATCAGAAGGTCAGAGTCAGAGTACGCAACCCCGACCGTGGTGGCAGCCAGGAAGGATTTGACAGGCGAGGTGCTGAGCCGCAGAATGTGCGGTGATTACAGAGATCTTAACAAGATCACCGTGCCGGATAGGTACCCCATGCCAATGGCGGAAGAACTCTTCGACAAGCTGGCCGACGGAGTATACTTCACGACGCTGGACCTGCGCCAGGGATTCAATCAGATAAAAATCAGAGAGGAAGATGTGAAGAAGACAGCCTTCCACGGACCGGACGGGCTGTATGAGTGGTTATACATGCCCTTCGGCCTGCGGAATGCCTCGGCAGTGTTTCAGAGAGTTATGGATGCGGTGCTGCGGGGGATTGAACATGCAGCATGCTACATTGATGATGTGGTCATCTTCAGCCAGACAGAGCAGCAGCACCTTGAGGACGTGGAGCGGACCCTGAGTGCAATAGAGGAGGCAGGGCTCACCTGTCATCCCAACAAGTGCAGGTGGGGGGAGCGGACAGTGCAGTACCTGGGGTATGAAGTGACAGGAGGACAGATCGGGATTCAGCAAGCAAAGGTGCAGGTGCTGGACAGGCTGAGGGAACCCAGGGACAAGACAGGGCTGCGCGCAGTCTTGGGCTTCCTCAGCTACTACAGGCGCTTCGTGCCTAACTTCAGTAAGCGGGCGGCAGTGCTGAACGGGATGCTGCGAGAGGACAAGGTATGGGAGTGGGGAGAACAGCAGAGGGAAGCACTGCAAGACCTCATGACAGCCGTGAAGACAGCAACCGTGCTGCGGCTGCCAGCAGCAGACCAGCCCTTCGTCCTCTACACCGATTGGAGCAGCCAGGGGATGGGGGCAATCCTGTGCCAGGAAGTGGAGGGAGTGGAAAAAGTGGTAGCCTACGCCAGCAGGAGCTGCAACCCCGCAGAGGCGCAGTATAGCTCATACATAGGGGAGGGGCTGGCGGCCGTGTGGGCGGTGGGGCATTTCAGGGTGTACCTGCAGGGCCGCGGGTTCACACTGGTCACTGACCATCAGCCCCTCACTTGGCTGATGACCACACCAGGGCTGACGGGAAGAAACGCAAGGTGGGCAGTGAAGCTGCAAGAATATGATTTCCAGATCAGGCATAGGCCGGGGAAGACGCTGCAGCACGTCGACGGTCTCTCTCGCAACCCACCACCGCTGGAATCAGGACAGAGAACACAGGGGACGGAAGGGACGGAGCTGGAGCCAGCACACACCTTGATCATGCTGGCGAGAGAAGCGGAAGAGGTCGGAGCCAAGGGGAGCAAGGGACCAGCCGACATCTGGCAGGACGAGAAGGCAATGCGGTGGGTGAAAGGAGAAACAGAGGAAGACGAGACAGTGTCAGAAAGAGTGCGGGCACGGGGGCACCACTACAGGTGGTATCAGCGGCAGCTGCAGATCAAGACAGAGGACGGGTGGAAGCTAGTGCCTGCACCCACGGACCGTGAAGCAGTGATCAAGGAGGTGCACACGAAGCTGGGACACTTCGGGCACGAGAGGACTGTACACCTGCTGAAGACAGGCTGGTGGTGGGAAGGGATGCGCAAGCAAGTGAAAGAGTGGGTGGAGGGGTGTGAGGCGTGTCAGAGGAGCAAGGCAAACTTAACGCAGGCCAAAGCAGAACTGCATTCACTGCCGATTTGCGGGTTGGGATTCCGATGGTCCTTGGACCTCGCGGGAGAGCTGCCGCTCAGCAGGAGCGGAAATCGGTACATCGTGTTCATGGTGGAGCATGCGAGCAAGTGGTTGGAGGTGAAAGCCATCCCCAGCAAGAGCGCGAGGCACATAGCAGCAGCCTTCAAGGCGCAGGTGGTGTGTCGCTTTGGAGCGTGCGGGGAGGTACTCACGGATCAGGGGACGGAGTTTCTGGGGGAATTTGAGAAGCTGCTGAAGGAATCCGGCATAGCGCACAGAAAAACCTCCCGCTACCACCCACAAAGCGACGGGCTGACCGAGCGAGCGGTGCAGACCTTCAAGCGGGGGCTGCGGGCCTATGGGGAGCAGAGGAAGAGGGACTGGGATGAGGAGCTGGATTGGATAGCCGCAGGGTACAGGTTCGGGAAGCAGGCAGCACTCAAGGACCACTCCCCGTACAGCCTCCTTTACGGAAGAGAGCCAATCCTGCCAGTGGAGGCACCACGGGTACTGACAGACACGGTGACAGCAGGCACGATCAAGAACTGGGTGGCCCTGTCCGAGGTGAGAGCGCGCTACATGCGCTACATGCTGCCAGCGGCACTGGAGAACCTGCACACTGCACAGCTGAGGGACGCAAGGAGGTACGAACAGAGGCAGCGCAAGGGAGAGGGGCGAGTGGCAAGAGGCGTCTGTGAAGGGCAGGAGGTGTACCTCAAGAGGGCAAAGCAAGACACCCTGGATGTGGGGCTGGGTACGGTCCGCTGGAAGGTCAAGGAGGTGCGCCCTTCAGGGGTGCTGGTCCTGGAGAATGACACGGGGGCGCAAGTGAAGGAGCATCAAACGAACACTGCCGTGATCAGAGGCAGCGGGCCTCAGCGCAACGGTCCTGTGACCCGCGCTCAAGCTGCGCGAGCACGGGCACAGGAGGGGGCAGAGAGTGGCTGAGGCAGCAGAAGGAACGAAGGAGAGGCAGAGCAGGAGAATCAAGGCAGAGAAGAGCATAGCGGTAACTCCGACAGCTGTCACCGAATATGTACGTTTGTGCATATAAGGTGCCAGTATGATTGTGGTGTAGAAAGGGTGTAGTAATGTGTTGTATTTGTTGTATGCAGGCTCAAGGATGGGTAGGTGGGAGGCTGGGAAATTGACGCGAAGTTGGTAGGAGAACACCAGGGGGTGAAATCCTCGCGACCAATGGGAACAAACCCAACCCAGGCTCAAGCCGCACATTGAGCAATGCACGGCTCGAGCCAGGGACAGGTAAGTTCACTCTCACACACACACACAATGCTTTCTGTTTGTTATCCTTTCGTATAGTGGACAGTTGTTACCTCAGATTTGCCTACAGGTGGCACACCACTCAGAGAGGACCTTTGAGGTGAGAGTTACCACTCTTTCGAAGGAGAGGCAGAGCAGGAGAATCAAGGCAGAGAAGAGCATAGCGGTAACTCCGACACCACCAGCCAGGCGAGTTGCTCCCAGCACCCCCACCAGCCAGTTGAGTTGCTCCCAGCACCCCCACCAGCCAGTTGAGTTGCTCCCAGCACCCCCACCAGCCACGTGAGTTGCTCCCAGCACCCCCACCAGCCAGGCGAGTTGCTCCCAGCACCTGCACCAGCCAGGTGAGTTGCTCCCAGCACTTCCACCAGCCAGGCGAGTTGCTCACAGCACCCCCACCAGCCAGGCGAGTTGCTCCCAGCACCCCCGGCGAGTTGCTCCCAGCACCCCCACCAGCCAGGCGAGTTGCTCCTAGCACCCCCACCAGCAAGTTGAGTTGCTCCCAGCACCCCCACCAGCCAGTTGAGTTGCTCCCAGCACCCCCACCAGCCAGGTGAGTTGCTCCTAGCACCCCCGCCATCCAGTTGAGTTGCTCCCAGCACCCCCACTATCCAGTTGAGTTGCTCCTAGCACCCCCACCAGCCAGGTGAGTTGCTCCTAGCACCCCCACCAGCCAGGCGAGTTGCTCCCAACACCCCCACCAGCTAGGCGAGTTGCTCCCAACACCCCCACCAGCCAGGCGAGTTGCTCCCAGCACCCCCACCAGCCAGGCGAGTTGCTCCCAGCACCCCCACCAGCCAGGTGACTTGCTACCAGCACCCCCACCAGCCAGGTGAGTTGCTCCCAGCACCCCCACCAGCCAGGGGAGTTGCTCCCAGCACCCCCACCAGCCAGGCGAGTTGCTCCCAGCACCCCCACCAGCCATTCGAGTTGCTCCTAGCACCCCCACCAGCCAGGTGAGTTGCTCCCAGCACCCCCACCGGCTAGGCCAGTTGCTCCCAGCACCCGCACCAGCCAGGCGAGTTGCTCCCAGCACCCCCACCATCCAGGTGAGTTGCTCCCAGCACCCCCACCAGCCAGACGAGTTGCTCCGAGCACCCCCACCAGCCAGGCGAGTTGCTCCCAACACCCCCACCAGCCAGGCGAGTTGCTCCCAGCACCCCCACCAGCCAGGTGAGTTGCTCCCAGCACCCCCACCAGCCAGACCAGTTGCTCCCAGCACCCCCACCAGCCAGGCGAGTTGCTCCCAACACCCCCACCAGCCAGGCGAGTTGCTCCCAGCACCCCCACCAGCCAGGCGAGTTGCTCCCAGCACCCCCACCAGCCAGGCGAGTTGCTCCCAGCACCCCCACCATCCAGGTGAGTTGCTCCCAGCACCCCCACCAGCCAGACGAGTTGCTCCGAGCACCCCCACCAGCCAGGGGAGTTGCTCCCAGCACCCCCACCAGCCAGGCGAGTTGCTCCCAGCACCCCCACCAGCCATTCGAGTTGCTCCTAGCACCCCCACCAGCCAGGTGAGTTGCTCCCAGCACCCCCACCGGCTAGGCCAGTTGCTCCCAGCACCCGCACCAGCCAGGCGAGTTGCTCCCAGCACCCCCACCATCCAGGTGAGTTGCTCCCAGCACCCCCACCAGCCAGACGAGTTGCTCCGAGCACCCCCACCAGCCAGGCGAGTTGCTCCCAACACCCCCACCAGCCAGGCGAGTTGCTCCCAGCACCCCCACCAGCCAGGTGAGTTGCTCCCAGCACCCCCACCAGCCAGACCAGTTGCTCCCAGCACCCCCACCAGCCAGGCGAGTTGCTCCCAACACCCCCACCAGCCAGGCGAGTTGCTCCCAGCACCCCCACCAGCCAGGCGAGTTGCTCCCAGCACCCCCACCAGCCAGGCGAGTTGCTCCCAGCACCCCCACCATCCAGGTGAGTTGCTCCCAGCACCCCCACCAGCCAGACGAGTTGCTCCGAGCACCCCCACCAGCCAGGCGAGTTGCTCCCAACACCCCCACCAGCCAGGCGAGTTGCTCCCAGCACCCCCACCAGCCAGGTGAGTTGCTCCCAGCACCCCCACCAGCCAGACGAGTTGCTCCCAGCACCCCCACCAGCCAGGTGAGTTGCTCCCAGCACCCCCACCAGCCAGGTGAGTTGCTCTCAGCACCCCCACCGGCCAGGCCAGTTGCTCCCAGCACCCCCACCAGCCAGGCGAGTTGCTCCCAGCACCCCCACCAGCCAGGCGAGTTGCTCCCAGCACCCCCACCAGCCAGGCGAGTTGCTCCCAGCACCCCCACCAGCCAGGTGAGTTGCTCCCAGCACCCCCACCAGCCAGGTGAGTTGCTCCCAGCACCCCCACCAGCCAGGCGAGTTGCTCCCACCACCCCCACCAGCCAGGCGAGTTGCTCCCAGCACCCCCACCAGCCAGGCGAGTTGCTCCCAGCACCCCCACCAGCCAGGCGAGTTGCTACTAGCACCCCCACCAGCCAGGCGAGTTGCTCCCAGCACCCCCACCGGCCAAGCGAGTTGCTCCCAGCACCCCCACCAGCCAGGCGAGTTGCTCCCAGCACCCCCACCAGACAGGTGAGTTGCTCCCAGCACCCCCACCGGCCAGGCGAGTTGCTCACAGCACCCCCACCAGCCACGCAAGTTGCTCCTAGCACCCCCACCAGCCAGGCAAGTTGCTCCCAGCACCCCCGCCAGCCAGGCGAGTTGCTCCCAGCACCCCCACCAGCCAGGTGAGTTACTCCCTGCACCCCCACCAGCCAGACGAGTTGCTCCCAGCGCCCCCACCAGCCAGGCAAGTTGCTCCCAGCACCCCCACCAGCCAGGCGAGTTGCTCCCAGCACTCCCACCAGCCAGACGAGTTGTTCCCAGCGCCCCCACCAGCCAGTTGAGTTGCTCCCAGCACCCCCACCAGCCAGGCGAGTTGCTCCCACCACCCCCACCAGCCAGTTGAGTTGCTCCCAGCACCCCCACCAGCCAGTCGAGTTGCTCCCAGCACCCCCACCAGCCAGGCGAGTTGCTCCCAGCACCCCCACCAGCCAGACGAGTTGCTCCCAGCACCCGCACCCGCCAGGCGAGTTGCTCCCAGCACCCCCACCAGCCAAGCAAGTTGCTCCCAGCACCCCCACCAGCCAGGTGAGTTGCTCCCAGCACCCCCACCAGCCAGACGAGTTGCTCCCAGCACCCCCACCAGCCAGGCGAGTTGCTCCCAACACCCCCACCAGCCAGGCGAGTTGCTCCCAGCACCCCCACCGGCTAGGCGAGTTGCTCCCAGCACCCGCACCAGCCAGGCGAGTTGCTCCCAGCACCCCCACCAGCCAGGCGAGTTGCTCCCAGCACCCCCACCAGCCAGGCGAGTTGCTCCCAGCACCCCCACCAGCCAGGTGAGTTGCTCCCAGCACCCCCACCAGCCAGGTGAGTTGCTCCCAGCACCCCCACCAGCCAGGCGAGTTGCTCCCACCACCCCCACCAGCCAGGCGAGTTGCTCCCAGCACCCCCACCAGCCAGGCGAGTTGCTCCCAGCACCCCCACCAGCCAGGCGAGTTGCTACTAGCACCCCCACCAGCCAGGCGAGTTGCTCCCAGCACCCCCACCGGCCAAGCGAGTTGCTCCCAGCACCCCCACCAGCCAGGCGAGTTGCTCCCAGCACCCCCACCAGACAGGTGAGTTGCTCCCAGCTCCCCCACCGGCCAGGCGAGTTGCTCACAGCACCCCCACCAGCCAGGCAAGTTGCTCCTAGCACCCCCACCAGCCAGGCAAGTTGCTCCCAGCACCCCCGCCAGCCAGGCGAGTTGCTCCCAGCACCCCCACCAGCCAGGTGAGTTGCTCCCTGCACCCCCACCAGCCAGACGAGTTGCTCCCAGCGCCCCCACCAGCCAGGGAAGTTGCTCCCAGCACCCCCACCAGCCAGGCGAGTTGCTCCCAGCACTCCCACCAGCCAGACGAGTTGCTCCCAGCGCCCCCACCAGCCAGTTGAGTTGCTCCCAGCACCCCCACCAGCCAGGCGAGTTGCTCCCAGCACCCCCACCAGCCAGTTGAGTTGCTCCCAGCACCCCCACCAGCCAGTCGAGTTGCTCCCAGCACCCCCACCAGCCAGGCGAGTTGCTCCCAGCACCCCCACCAGCCAGACGAGTTGCTCCCAGCACCCGCACCCGCCAGGCGAGTTGCTCCCAGCACCCCCACCAGCCAAGCGAGTTGCTCCCAGCACCCCCACCAGCCAGGTGAGTTGCTCCCAGCACCCCCACCAGCTAGACGAGTTGCTCCCAGCACCCCCACCAGCCAGGCGAGTTGCTCCCAACACCCCCACCAGCCAGGCGAGTTGCTCCCAGCACCCCCACCGGCTAGGCGAGTTGCTCCCAGCACCCGCACCAGTCAGGCGAGTTGCTCCCAGCACCCCCATTATCCAGGTGAGTTGCTCCCAGCACCCCCACAAGCCAGACGAGTTGCTCCGAGCACCCCCACCAGCCAGGCGAGTTGCTCCCAACACCCCCACCAGCCAGGCGAGTTGCTCCCAGCACCCCCACCAGCCAGGTGAGTTGCTCCCAGCACCCCCACCAGCCAGACGAGTTGCTCCCAGCACCCCCACCAGCCAGGCGAGTTGCTCCCAACACCCCCACCAGCCAGGCGAGTTGCTCCCAGCACCCCCACCAGCCAGTCGAGTTGCTCCCAGCACCCCCACCAGCCAGGTGAGTTGCTCCCAGCACCCCCACCAGCCAGGCGAGTTGCTCCCAGCACCCCCACCAGCCAGACGAGTTGCTCCCAGCACCCCCACCAGCCAGGCGAGTTGCTCCCAACACCCCCACCAGCCAGGCGAGTTGCTCCCAGCACCCCCACCAGCCAGGCGAGTTGCTCCCAGCACCCCCACCAGCCAGGCGAGTTGCTCACAGCACCCCCACCAGCCAGGCGAGTTGCTCCCAGCACCCCCACCAGCCAAGCGAGTTGCTCCCAGCACCCCCACCAGCCAGGTGAGTTGCTCCTAGCACCCCCACCAGCCAGGTGAGTTGCTCCCAGCACCCCCACCAGCCAGGCGAGTTGCTCCTAGCACCCCCACCAGCCAGGTGAGTTGCTCCCAGCACCCCCACCAGCCAGGCGAGTTGCTCCCACCACCCCCACCAGCCAGGCGAGTTCCTCCCAGCACCCCCACCAGCCAGGGGAGTTGCTCCCAGCACCCCCACCAGCCAGGCGAGTTGCTCCCAGCACCCCCACCAGCCAGGCGAGTTGCTCCCAGCACCCCCACCGGCCAAGCGAGTTGCTCCCAGCACCCCCACCAGCCAGGCGAGTTGCTCCCAGCACCCCCACCAAACAGGTGAGTTGCTCCCAGCACCCCCACCGGCCAGGCGAGTTGCTCCCAGCACCCCCACCAGCCAGGCAAGTTGCTCCTAGCACCCCCACCAGCCAGGCAAGTTGCTCCCAGCACCCCCGCCAGCCAGGCGAGTTGCTCCCAGCACCCCCACGAGCCAGGTGAGTTGCTCCCAGCACCCCCACCAGCCAGACGAGTTGCTCCCAGCGCCCCCACCAGCCAGGCAAGTTGCTCCCAGCACCCCCACCAGCCAGGCGAGTTGCTCCCAGCACTCCCACCAGCCAGACGAGTTGCTCCCAGCGCCCCCACCAGCCAGTTGAGTTGCTCCCAGCACCCCCACCAGCCAGGCGAGTTGCTCCCAGCACCCCCACCGGCCATGTGAGTTGCTCCCAGCACCCCCACCAGCCAGGTGAGTTGCTCTCAGCACCCCCACCAGCCAGGTGAGTTGCTCCCAGCACCCCCACCAGCCAGGTGACTTGCTCCCAGCACCCCCACCAGCCAGGTGAGTTGCTCCCAGCACCCCCACCAGCCAGGTGAGTTGCTCCCAGCACCCCCATCAGCCAAGTGAGTTGCTCCCAGCACCCCCACCAGCCAGGTGAGTTGCTCCCAGCACCCCCACCAGCCAGTTGAGTTGCTCCCAGCACTCCCACCAGCCAGTCGAGTTGCTCCCAACACCCCCACCAGACAGGCGAGTTGCTCCCAGCACCCCCACCAGCGAGGCGAGTTGCTCCCAGCACCCCCACCAGCCAGTTGAGTTGCTCCCAGCACCCCCACCAGCCAGGTGAGTTGCTCCTAGCATCCCCATCGGCAAGGTGAGTTGCTCCCAGCACCCCCACCAGCCAGGCGAGTTGCTTCAAGCACCCCCACCGGCCATGTGAGTTGCTCCCAGCACCCCCACCAGCCAGGTGAGTTGCTCCTAGCATTCCCACCAGCCAGGCGAGTTGCTCACAGCACCCCCACCAGCCAGGCGAGTTGCTCCGAGCACCCCCACCAGCCAGGTGAGTTGCTCTCAGCACCCCCACCAGCCGGGTGAGTTGCTCCTAGCATCCCCACCAGCCAGGCGAGTTGCTCCCAGCACTCCCACCAGCCAGGTGAGTTGCTCCGAGCACCCCCACCAGCCAGGTGAGTTGCTCCCAGCACCCCCACCAGCCAGGTGAGTTGCTCCCAGCACCCCCATCAGCCAAGTGAGTTGCTCCCAGCACCCCCACCAGCCAGGTGAGTTTCTCCCAGCACTCCCACCAGCCAGGCGAGTTGCTCCAAACACCCCCACCAGACAGGCGAGTTGCTCCCAGCACCCCCACCAGCCAGGCGAGTTGCTCCCAGCACCCCCACCAGCCAGTTGAGTTGCTCCCAGCACCCCCACCAGCCAGTTGAGTTGCTCCCAGCACCCCCACCAGCCATGCGAGTTGCTCCGAGCACCCCCACCAGCCAGGTGAGTTGCTCCCAGCACCCCCACCAGCCAGGTGAGTTGCTCCCAGCACCCCCATCAGCCAAGTGAGTTGCTCCCAGCACCCCCACCAGCCAGGTGAGTCGCTCCCAGCACTCCCACCAGCCAGGCGAGTTGCTCCCAACACCCCCACCAGACAGGCGAGTTGCTCCCAGCACCCCCACCAGCCAGGCGAGTTGCTCCCAGCACCCCCACCAGCCAGTTGAGTTGCTCCCAGCACCCCCACCAGCCAGGCGAGTTGCTCCCAGCACCCCCACCAGCCAGGTGAGTTGCTCTCAGCACCCCCACCAGCCAGGTGAGTTGCTCCCAGCACTCCCACCAGCCAGGCGAGTTGCTCCCAGCGCCCCCACCAGCCAGGCGAGTTGCTCCCAGCACCCCCACCAGCCAGGTGAGTTGCTCCCAGCACTCCCACCAGCCACGCGAGTTGCTCCCAGCACCCCCACCAGCCAGTTGAGTTGCTCCCAGCACCCCCACCAGCCAGTTGAGTTGCTTCCAGCACCCCCACCAGCGAGTCGAGTTGCTCCCAGCACCCCCACCAGCCAGGTGAGTTGCTCCCAGCACCACCACCAGCCAGACGAGTTGCTCCCAGCACCCGCACCCGCCAGGCGAGTTGCTCCCAGCACCCCCACCAGCCCTGCGAGTTGCTCCCAGCACCCCCACCAGCCATGCAAGTTGCTCCCAGCACCCGCACCAGCCAGGCGAGTTGCTCCAAGCACCCCCACCAGCCAGGCGAGTTGCTCCCAGCACCCCCACCAGCCAGGCGAGTTGTTCCAAGCATCCCCACCGGCCAGGCGAGTTGCTCCCAGCACCCCCACCAGCCAGGCGAGTTGCTCCCAGCACCCCCACCAGCCAGGCGAGTTGTTCCAAGCACCCCCACCGGCCAGGCGAGTTGCTCCCAGCACCCCCACCAGCCAGGCGAGTTGCTCCCAGCACCCCCACCGGCCATGTGAGTTGCTCCCAGCACCCCCACCAGCCAGGTGAGTTGCTCTCAGCACCCCCACCAGCCAGGTGAGTTGCTCCCAGCACCCCCACCAGCCAGGTGAGTTGCTCCCAGCACCCCCACCAGCCAGGCGAGTTGCTCCAAGCATTCCCACCAGCCAGGCGAGTTGCTCCCAGCACCCCCACCAGCCAGGCGAGTTGCTCCGAGCACCCGCACCAGCCAGGTGAGTTGCTCTCCGCACCCCCACCAGCCGGGTGAGTTGCTCCTAGCATCCCCAACAGCCAGGCGAGTTGCTCCCAGCACCCCCACCAGCCAGGTGAGTTGCTCCCAGCACCCCCACCAGCCAGGTGAGTTGCTCCCAGCACCCCCATCAGCCAAGTGAGTTGCTCCCAGCACCCCCACCAGGCAGGTGAGTTGCTCCCAGCACCCCCACCAGCCAGTTGAGTTGCTCCCAGCACTCCCACCAGCCAGTCGAGTTGCTCCCAACACCCCCACCAGACAGGCGAGTTGCTCCCAGCACCCCCACCAGCGAGGCGAGTTGCTCCCAGCACCCCCACCAGCCAGTTGAGTTGCTCCCAGCACCCCCACCAGCCAGGTGAGTTGCTCCCAGCACCCCCACCAGCCAGGTGAGTTGCTCCCAGCACTCCCACCAGCCAGGTGAGTTGCTCCCAGCACCCCCACCAGCCAGGTGAGTTGCTCCCAGCACCCCCACCAGCCAGGCGAGTTGCTCCCAGCACCCCCACCAGCCAGGTGAGTTGCTCCCAGCACCCCCACCAGCCAGACGAGTTGCTCCCAGCGCCCCCACCAGCCAGGCAAGTCGCTCCCAGCACCCCCACCAGCCAGGCGAGTTGCTCCCAGCACTCCCACCAGCCAGACGAGTTGCTCCCAGCGCCCCCACCAGCCAGTTGAGTTGCTCCCAGCACCCCCACCAGCCAGGCGAGTTGCTCCCAGCACCCCCACCAGGCAGTTGAGTTGCTCCCAGCACCCCCACCAGCCAGTCGAGTTGCTCCCAGCACCCCCACCAGCCAGGCGAGTTGCTCCCAGCACCCCCACCAGCCAGACGAGTTGCTCCCAGCACCCGCACCCGCCAGGCGAGTTGCTCCCAGCACCTCCACCAGCCAGGCGAGTTGCTCCCAGCACCCCCACCTGCCATTTGAGTTGCTCCCAGCACCCCCACCAGCCACGCGAGTTGCTCCCAGCACCCCCACCAGCCAGGCGAGTTGCTCCTAGCATCCCCACCGGCAAGGTGAGTTGCTCCCAGCACCCCCACCAGCCAGGTGAGTTGCTCCCAGCACCCACACCAGCCAGGCGAGTTGCTCCCAGCACCCCCACCGGCCATGTGAGTTGCTCCCAGCACTCCCACCAGCCAGGTGAGTTGCTCCTAGCATTCCCACCAGCCAGGCGAGTTGCTCCCAGCACCCCCACCAGCCAGGCGAGTTGCTCCGAGCACCCCCACCTGCCAGGTGAGTTGCTCTCAGCACCCCCACCAGCCGGGTGAGTTGCTCCTAGCATCCCCACAAGCCAGGCGAGTTGCTCCCAGCACCCCCACCAGCCAGGTGAGTTGCTCCGAGCATTCCCACCAGCCAGGCGAGTTGCTCCAAGCACCCCCACCAGCCAGGCGAGTTGCTCCGAGCACCCCCACCAGCCATGTGAGTTGCTCTCAGCACCCCCACCAGCCGGGTGAGTTGCTCCTAGCATCCCCACCAGCCAGGCGAGTTGCTCCCAGCACCCCCACCAGCCAGTTGAGTTGCTCCCAGCACCCCCACCAGCCAGTTGAGTTGCTCCCAGCACCCCCACCAGCCAGGCGAGTTGCTCCGAGCACCCCCACCAGCCAGGTGAGTTGCTCCCAGCACCCCCACCAGCCAGGTGAGTTGCTCCCAGCACCCCCATCAGCCAAGTGAGTTGCTCCCAGCACCCCCACCAGCCAGGTGAGTTGCTCCCAGCACTCCCACCAGCCAGGCGAGTTGCTCCCAACACCCCCACCAGACTGGCGAGTTGCTCCCAGCACCCCCACCAGCCAGGCGAGTTGCTCCCAGCACCCCCACCAGCCAGTTGAGTTGCTCCCAGCACCCCCACCAGCCAGTTGAGTTGCTCCCAGCACCCCCACCTGCCAGGTGAGTTGCTCTCAGCACCCCCACCAGCCAGGTGAGTTGCTCCCAGCACTCCCACCAGCCAGGCGAGTTGCTCCCAGCGCCCCCACCAGCCAGGCGAGTTGCTCCCAGAACCCCCACCAGCCAGTTGAGTTGCTCCCAGCACCCCCACCAGCCAGGTGAGTTGCTCCCAGCACCCCCACCAGCCAGGTGAGTTGCTCCCAGCACTCCCACCAGCCAGGCGAGTTGCTCCCAGCACCCCCACCAGCCAGTTGAGTTGCTCCCAGCACCCCCACCAGCCAGACGAGTTGCTCCCAGCACCCGCACCCGCCAGGCGAGTTGCTCCCAGCACCCCCACCAGCCAGTTGAGTTGCTCCCAGCACCCCCACCAGCCAGTCGAGTTGCTCCCAGCACCCCCACCAGCCAGGCGAGTTGCTCCCAGCACCCCCACCAGCCAGACGAGTTGCTCCCAGCACCCGCACCCGCCAGGCGAGTTGCTCCCAGCACCCCCACCAGCCAGGCGAGTTGCTCCCAGCACCCCCACCAGCCATGCGAGTTGCTCCCAGCACCCCCACCAGCCAGGCGAGTTGTTCCAAGCACCCCCACCGGCCAGGCGAGTTGCTCCCAGCACCCCCACCGGCCAGGCGAGTTGCTCCTAGCATCCCCACCGGCAAGGTGAGTTGCTCCCAGCACCCCCACCAGCCAGGCGAGTTGCTCCAAGCACCCCCACCAGCCAGGTGAGTTGCTCCCAGCACCCCCACCAGCCAGGTGAGTTGCTCCTAGCATTCCCACCAGCCAGGCGAGTTGCTCTCAGCACCCCCACCAGCCAAGCGAGTTGCTCCCAGCACCCGCACCCGCCAGGCGAGTTGCTCCCAGCACCCCCACCAGCCAGGCGAGTTGCTCCCAGCACCCCCACCAGCCATGCGAGTTGCTCCCAGCACCCCCACCAGCCAGGCGAGTTGTTCCAAGCACCCCCACCGGCCAGGCGAGTTGCTCCCAGCACCCCCACCGGCCAGGCGAGTTGCTCCTAGCATCCCCACCGGCAAGGTGAGTAGCTCCCACCACCCCCACCAGCCAGGCGAGTTGCTCCAAGCACCCCCACCAGCCAGGTGAGTTGCTCCCAGCACCCCCACCAGCCAGGTGAGTTGCTCCTAGCATCCCCACCGGCAAGGTGAGTTGCTCCCAGCACCCCCACCGGCCAGGTGAGTTGCTCCCAGCACCGCCACCAGCCAGGTGAGTTGCTCCCAGCACCCCACCAGCCAGGTGAGTTGCTCCCAGCACCCCACCAGCCAGGTGAGTTGCTCCCAGCACCCCCACCAGCCAGGTGAGTTGCTCTCAGCACCCCCACCAGCCAGGTGAGTTGCTCCCAGCACCCCCACCAGCCAGGCGAGTTGCTCCGAGCACCCCCACCAGCCAGGTGAGTTGCTCCCAGCACCCCCACCAGCCAGTTGAGTTGCTCCCAGCACCCCCACCAGCCAGGCGAGTTGCTCGGAGCACCCCCACCAGCCAGGTGAGTTGCTCTCAGCACCCCCACCAGCCAGGCGAGTTGCTCTCAGCACCCCCACCAGCCAGTTGAGTTGCTTCCAGCACCCTAGCCAGCCAGTTGAGTTGCTCCCAGCACCCCCACCAGCCAGGTGAGTTGCTCCCAGCACCCCCATCAACCAAGTGAGTTGCTCCCAGCACCCCCACCACTCCCAGCACCCCCACCAGCCAGGCGAGTTGCTCCCAGCACCCCCACCAGCCAGTTGAGTTGCTCCTAGCACCCCCACCAGCCAGGTGAGTTGCTCCCAGCACCCCCACCAGCCAGGTGAGTTGCTCCCAGCACCCCCACCAGCCAGGCGAGTTGCTCCCGGCACCCCAACCAGCCAGGTGAGTTGCTCCCAGCACCCCCACCAGCCAGGTGAGTTGCTCCCAGCACCCCCACCAGCCAGGTGAGTTGCTCCCAGCACCCCCACCAGCCAGGCGAGTTGCTCCCAGCACCCCCACCAGCCAGGCGAGTTGCTCCCAGCACCCCCACCAGCCAGGCGAGTTGCTCCTAGTAACCCCACGAGCCAGTTGAGTTGCTCCCAGCACCCCCACTAGCCAGTTGAGTTGCTCCCAGCACCCCCACCAGCCAGGTGAGTTGCTCCCAGCACCCCCACCAGCCAGGTGAGTTGCTCCCAGCACCCCCACCAGCCAGGTGAGTTGCTCCCAGCACCCCCACCAGCCAGGTGAGTTGCTCGCAGCACCCCCACCAGCCAGGTGAGTTGCTCCCAGCACCCCCACCAGCAAGGTGAGTTGCTCCCAGCATCCCCACCAGCCAGGTGAGTTGCTCCCAGCACCCCCACTAGCCAGGTAAGTTGCTCCCAACAACCCCACCAGCCAGGTGAGTTGCTCCTTGCACCCCCACCAGCCAGGTGAGTTGCTCCCAGCACCCCCACTAGCCAGGTGAGTTGCTCCCAACACCCCCACCAGCTGGGTGAGTTGCTCCTTGCACCCCCACCAGCCAGGTGAGTTGCTCCCAGCACCCCCACCAGCCAGGTGAGTTGCTCCCAACACCCCCACCAGCCAGGTGAGTTGCTCCCAGCACCCCCACCAGCCAGGTGAGTTGCTCCCAGCACCCCCACCAGCCAGGTGAGTTGCTCCCAACACCCCCACCAGCCAGGAGAGTTGCTCCCGGCACCCCCACCAGCCAGGCCAGTTGCTCCCAGCACCCCCACCAGCCAGGCGAGTTGCTCCCAGCACCCCCACCAGCCAGGCGAGTTGCTCCCAGCACCCCCACCAGACAGGCGAGTTGCTTCCAGCACCCCCACCAGCCAGGCGAGTTGCTCCCAGCACCCCCACCAGCCAGGCCAGTTGCTCCCAGCACCCCCACCAGCCAGGCGAGTTGCTCCCAGCACCCCCACCAGCTAGGCGAGTTCCTCCCAGCACCCCCACCAGCCTGGCGAGTTGCTCCCAGCACCCCCACCAGCCAGGCGAGTTGCTCCCAGCACCCCCACCAGCCAGGCGAGTTGCTCCCAGCACCCCCACCAGCCAGGCGAGTTGCTCCCAGCACCCCCACCAGCCAGGCGAGTTCCTCCCAGCACCCCCACCAGCCTGGCGAGTTGCTCCCAGCACCCCCACCAGCCAGGCGAGTTGCTCCCAGCACCCCTACCAGCCAGGCGAGTTGCTCCCAGCACCCCCGCCAGCCAGGCGAGTTGCTCCCAGCACCCCCACCAGCCAGGTGAGTTGCTCCCAGCACCCCCACCAGCCAGGCGAGTTGCTCCCAGCACCCCCACCAGCCAGGCGAGTTGCTCCCAGCACCCCCACCAGCCAGGCGAGTTGCTCCCAGCACCCCCACCAGCCAGGCGAGTTCCTCCCAGCACCCCCACCAGCCTGGCGAGTTGCTCCCAGCACCCCCACCAGCCAGGCGAGTTGCTCCCAGCACCCCCACCAGCCAGGCGAGTTGCTCCCAGCACCCCCACCAGCCAGGCGAGTTGCTCCCAGCACCCCCACCAGCCAGGTGAGTTGCTCCCAGCACCCCCACCAGCCAGGTGAGTTGCTCCTAGCATCCCCACCAGCCAGGCGAGTTGCTCCCAGCACTGCCACCAGCCAGGCGAGTTGCTCCCAGCACCCCCACCAGCCAGGTGAGTTGCTCCCATCACCCCCACCAGCCAGGCGAGTTGCTCCCAGCACCCCCACTAGCCACGCGAGTTGCTCCCAGCACCCCCACCAGCCAGGCGAGTTGCTCCCAGCACCCAGACCAGCCAGGCGAGTTGCTCCCAGCACCCCCACCAGCCAGGTGAGTTGCTCCCAGCACCCCCACCAGCCAGGTGAGTTGCTCCCAGCACCCCTACCAGCCAGGTGAGTTGCTCCCAGCACCCCCACCAGCTAGGTGAGTTGCTCCCAGCACCCCCACCAGCCAGGCGAGTTGCTCCCAGCACCCCCACGAGCCAGTTGAGTTGCTCCCAGCATCCCCACCAGCCAGTTGAGTTTCTCCCAGCACCCCCACCAGCCAGGTGAGTTGCTCCCAGCACCCCCACCAGCCAGGCGAGTTGCTCCCAGCACCCCCACCAGCCAGGCGAGTTGCTCCCAGCACCCCCACCAGCCAGGCGAGTTGCTCCCAGCACCCCCACCAGCCAGGCGAGTTCCTCCCAGCACCCCCACCAGCCTGGCGAGTTGCTCCCAGCACCCCCACCAGCCAGGCGAGTTGCTCCCAGCACCCCCACCAGCCAGGCGAGTTGCTCCCAGCACCCCCACCAGCCAGGCGAGTTGCTCCCAGCACCCCCACCAGCCAGGTGAGTTGCTCCTAGCACCCCCACCAGCCAGGTGAGTTGCTCCTAGCATCCCCACCAGCCAGGCGAGTTGCTCCCAGCACTGCCACCAGCCAGGCGAGTTGCTCCCAGCACCCCCACCAGCCAGGTGAGTTGCTCCCATCACCCCCACCAGCCAGGCGAGTTGCTCCCAGCACCCCCACTAGCCACGCGAGTTGCTCCCAGCACCCCCACCAGCCAGGCGAGTTGCTCCCAGCACCCAGACCAGCCAGGCGAGTTGCTCCCAGCACCCCCACCAGCCAGGTGAGTTGCTCCCAGCACCCCCACCAGCCAGGTGAGTTGCTCCCAGCACCCCTACCAGCCAGGTGAGTTGCTCCCAGCACCCCCACCAGCTAGGTGAGTTGCTCCCAGCACCCCCACCAGCCAGGCGAGTTGCTCCCAGCACCCCCACGAGCCAGTTGAGTTGCTCCCAGCATCCCCACCAGCCAGTTGAGTTTCTCCCAGCACCCCCACCAGCCAGGTGAGTTGCTCCCAGCACCCCCACCAGCCAGGCGAGTTGCTCCCAGCACCCCCACCAGCCAGGCGAATTGCTCCCAGCACCCCCACCAGCCAGGCGAGTTGCTCCCAGCACCCCCACCAGCCAGGCGAGTTCCTCCCAGCACCCCCACCAGCCTGGCGAGTTGCTCCCAGCACCCCCACCAGCCAGGCGAGTTGCTCCCAGCACCCCCACCAGCCAGGCGAGTTGCTCCCAGCACCCCCACCAGCCAGGCGAGTTGCTCCCAGCACCCCCACCAGCCAGGTGAGTTGCTCCCAGCACCCCCACCAGCCAGGTGAGTTGCTCCTAGCATCCCCACCAGCCAGGCGAGTTGCTCCCAGCACTGCCACCAGCCAGGCGAGTTGCTCCCAGCACCCCCACCAGCCAGGTGAGTTGCTCCCATCACCCCCACCAGCCAGGCGAGTTGCTCCCAGCACCCCCACTAGCCACGCGAGTTGCTCCCAGCACCCCCACCAGCCAGGCGAGTTGCTCCCAGCACCCAGACCAGCCAGGCGAGTTGCTCCCAGCACCCCCACCAGCCAGGTGAGTTGCTCCCAGCACCCCCACCAGCCAGGTGAGTTGCTCCCAGCACCCCTACCAGCCAGGTGAGTTGCTCCCAGCACCCCCACCAGCTAGGTGAGTTGCTCCCAGCACCCCCACCAGCCTGGCGAGTTGCTCCCAGCACCCCCACCAGCCAGGTGAGTTGCTCCCAGCACCCCCACCGGCCAGGTGAGTTGCTCCCAGCACCCCCACCGGCCAGGTGAGTTGCTCCCAGCACCCCCACCGGCCAGGCGAGTTGCTCCCAGCACCCCCACCAGCCAGGCGAGTTGCTCCAAGCACCCCCACCAGCCAGGAGAGTTGCTCCCGGCACCCCCACCAGGCAGGCAAGTTGCTCCGAGCATCCCCACCAGCCAGGTGAGTTGCTCCTAGCATCCCCATCAGCCAGATAAGTTGCTCCCAGCACCCCCACCAGCCAGGCGAGTTTCTCCCAGCAAACCCACCAGCCAGGCGAGTTGCTCCCAGCACCCCCATCAGCCAGGTGAGTTGCTCCCGGCACCCCCACCAGCCAGGTGAATTGCTCCCAGCACCCCCACCAGCCAGGTGAGTTGCTCCCAGCACCCCCACCAGCCAGGTGAGTTGCTCCCAGCACCCCCACCAGCCAGGTGAGTTGCTCCCAGCAACCCTACCAGCCAGGTGAGTTGCTCCCAGCACCCCAACCAGCCAGGTGAGTTGCTCATAGCATCCCCACCAGCCAGGCGAGTTGCTCCAAGCACCCCCACCAGCCAGGCGAGTTGCTCCCAGCACCCCCACCAGCCAGGCGAGTTGCTCCCAGCACCCCCACTAGCCAGGCGAGTTGCTCCCAGCACCCCCACCAGCAAGGCGAGTTGCTCCCAGCACCCAGACCAGCCAGGCGAGTTGCTCCCAGCACCCCCACCAGCCAGGTGAGTTGCTCCCAGCATCCCCACCAGCCAGGTGAGTTGCTCCCAGCACCCCTACCAGCCAGGTGAGTTGCTCCCAGCACCCCCACCAGCTAGGTGAGTTGCTCCCAGCACCCCCACCAGCCAGGTGAGTTGCTCCCAGCACCCCCACCAGCCAGGTGAGTTGCTCCCAGCACCCCCAACGGCCAGGCGAGTTGCTTCCAGCACCCCCACCAGCCAGGTGAGTTGCTCCCAGCACCCCCACCAGCCAGGTGAGTTGCTCTCAGCACCCCCACCAGCCAGGTGAGTTGCTCCCAGCACCCCCACCGGCCAGGTGAGTTGCTCCCAGCACCCCCGCCGGCCAGGTGAGTTGCTCCCAGCACCCCCACCGGCCAGGCGAGTTGCTCCCAGCACCCCCACCAGCCAGGCGAGTTGCTTCAAGCACCCCCACCAGCCAGGAGAGTTGCTCCCGGCACCCCCACCAGCCTGGCGAGTTGCTCCCAGCATCCCCACTAGCCAGGTGAGTTGCTCCTAGCATCCCCACCAGCCAGATAAGTTGCTCCCAGCACCCCCACCAGCCAGGCGAGTTTCTCCCAGCAAACCCACCAGCCAGGCGAGTTGCTCCCAGCACCCCCATCAGCCAGGTGAGTTGCTCCCGGCACCCCCACCAGCCAGGTGAATTGCTCCCAGCACCCCCACCAGCCAGGTGAGTTGCTCCCAGCACCCCCACCAGCCAGGTGAGTTGCTCCCAGCACCCCCACCAGCCAGGTGAGTTGCTCCCAGCAACCCTACCTGCCAGGTGAGTTGCTCCCAGCACCCCAACCAGCTAGGTGAGTTGCTTAAAGCATCCCCACCAGCCAGGCGAGTTGCTCCCAGCACCCCCACCAGCCAGGCGAGTTGCTCCCAGCACCCCCACCAGCCAGGCGAGTTGCTCCCAGCACCCCCACTAGCCAGGCGAGTTGCTCCCAGCACCCCCACCAGCCAGGCGAGTTGCTCCCATCACCCAGACCAGCCAGGCGAGTTGCTCCCAGCACCCCCACCAGCCAGGTGAGTTGCTCCCAGCACCCCCACCAGCCAGGTGAGTTGCTCCCAGCACCCCTACCAGCCAGGTGAGTTGCTCCCAGCACCCCCACCAGCTAGGTGAGTTGCTCCCAGCACCCCCACCAGCCAGTTGAGTTGCTCCCAGCACCCCCACCAGCCAGGTGAGTTGCTCCCAGCACCCCCACCGGCCAGGCGAGTTGCTTCCAGCACCCCCACCAGCCAGGTGAGTTGCTCCCAGCACCCCCACCAGCCAGGTGAGTTGCTCTCAGCACCCCCACCAGCCAGGTGAGTTGCTCCCAGCACCCCCACCAGCCAGGTGAGTTGCTCCCAGCACCCCCACCAGCCAGGTGAGTTGCTCCCAGCACCCCCACCAGCCAGGTGAGTTGTTCCCAGCAACCCCACCAGCCAGGCGAGTTGCTCCTAGCATCCCCTCCAACCAGGTGAGTTGCTCCCAGCACCCCCACCAGCCAGGTGAGTTGCTCCCAGCACCCCCACCAGCCAGGTGAGTTGCTCCCAGCACCCCCACCAGCCAGGTGTGTTGTTCCCAGCAACCCCACCAGCCAGGCAAGTTGCTCCTTGCATCCCCTCCAACCAGGTGAGTTGCTCCCAGCACCCGCACCAGCCAGGTGAGTTGCTCCCAGCTCCCCCACCAGCCAGGTGAGTTGCTCCCAGCACCCTCACCGGCCAGGTGAGTTGCTCCCAGCACCCCCACCAGCCAGGCGAGTTGCTCCCAGCATTCCCACCAGCCAGGCGAGTTGCTCCCAGCACCCCCACCAGCCAGGCGAGTTGCTCCCAGCACCCCCACCAGCCAGGTGAGTTGCTCCTAGCACCCCCACCAGCCAGGCGAGTTGCTCCCAGCACCCCCACCAGCCAGGCGAGTTGCTCCCAGCACCCCCACCAGCTAGTTGAGTTGCTCCCTGCACCCCCACCAGCAAGTTGCGTTGCTCCCAGCACCCCCACCAGCCAGGTGAGTTGCTCCCAGCACCCCCACCAGCCAGGTGAGTTGCTCCCAGCAACCCTACCAGCCAGGTGAGTTGCTCCCAGCACCCCACCAGCCAGGCGAGTTGCTCCCAGCACCCCCACCAGCTAGGCGAGTTGCTCCGAGCACCCCAACCAGCCAGGTGAGTTGCTCATAGCATCCCCACCAGCCAGGCGAGTTGCTCCCAGCACCCCCACCAGCCAGGTGAGTTGCTCCCAGCACCCCCACCAGCCAGGTGAGTTGCTCCCAGCACCCCTACCAGCCAGGTGAGTTGCTCCCAGCACCCCCACGAGCTAGGTGAGTTGCTCCCAGCACCCCCACCAGCCAGGTGAGTTGCTCCCACCACCCCCACCAGCCAGGTGAGTTGCTCCCAGCACCCCCACCAGCCAGGTGAGTTGCTCCCAGCACCCCCACCGGCCAGGCGAGTTGCTTCCAGCACCCCCACCAGCCAGGTGAGTTGCTCCCAGCACCCCCACCAGCCAGGTGAGTTGCTCTCAGCACCCCCACCAGCCAGGTGAGTTGCTCCCAGCACCCCCACCAGCCAGGTGAGTTGCTCCCAGCACCCCCACCAGCCAGGTGAGTTGCTCCCAGCACCCCCACCAGCCAGGTGAGTTGTTCCCAGCAACCCCACCAGCCAGGCGAGTTGCTCCTAGCATCCCCTCCAACCAGGTGAGTTGCTCCCAGCACCCCCACCAGCCAGGTGAGTTGCTCCCAGCACCCCCACCAGCCAGGTGAGTTGCTCCCAGCACCCCCACCAGCCAGGTGAGTTGTTCCCAGCAACCCCACCAGCCAGGCAAGTTGCTCCTAGCATCCCCTCCAACCAGGTGAGTTGCTCCCAGCACCCGCACCAGCCAGGTGAGTTGCTCCCAGCTCCCCCACCAGCCAGGTGAGTTGCTCCCAGCACCCTCACCGGCCAGGTGAGTTGCTCCCAGCACCCCCACCAGCCAGGCGAGTTGCTCCCAGCATTCCCACCAGCCAGGCGAGTTGCTCCCAGCACCCCCACCAGCCAGGCGAGTTGCTCCCAGCACCCCCACCAGCCAGGTGAGTTGCTCCTAGCACCCCCACCAGCCAGGCGAGTTGCTCCCAGCACCCCCACCAGCCAGGCGAGTTGCTCCCAGCACCCCCACCAGCTAGTTGAGTTGCTCCCAGCACCCCCACCAGCAAGTTGCGTTGCTCCCAGCACCCCCACCAGCCAGGTGAGTTGCTCCCAGCACCCCCACCAGCCAGGTGAGTTGCTCCCAGCAACCCTACCAGCCAGGTGAGTTGCTCCCAGCACCCCACCAGCCAGGCGAGTTGCTCCCAGCACCCCCACCAGCTAGGCGAGTTGCTCCGAGCACCCCAACCAGCCAGGTGAGTTGCTCATAGCATCCCCACCAGCCAGGCGAGTTGCTCCCAGCACCCCCACCAGCCAGGTGAGTTGCTCCCAGCACCCCCACCAGCCAGGTGAGTTGCTCCCAGCACCCCTACCAGCCAGGTGAGTTGCTCCCAGCACCCCCACGAGCTAGGTGAGTTGCTCCCAGCACCCCCACCAGCCAGGTGAGTTGCTCCCAGCACCCCTCCCAGCCAGGTGAGTTGCTCCCACCACCCCCACCAGCCAGGTGAGTTGCTCCCAGCACCCCCACCAGCTAGGCGAGTTGCTCCGAGCACCCCAACCAGCCAGGTGAGTTGCTCATAGCATCCCCACCAGCCAGGCGAGTTGCTCCCAGCACCCCCACCAGCCAGGTGAGTTGCTCCCAGCACCCCCACCAGCCAGGTGAGTTGCTCCCAGCACCCCTACCAGCCAGGTGAGTTGCTCCCAGCACCCCCACGAGCTAGGTGAGTTGCTCCCAGCACCCCCACCAGCCAGGCGAGTTGCTCCCAGCACCCCCACCAGCCAGGCGAGTTGCTCCCAGCACCCCCACCAGCTAGTTGAGTTGCTCCCAGCACCCCCACCAGCAAGTTGCGTTGCTCCCAGCACCCCCACCAGCCAGGTGAGTTGCTCCCAGCACCCCCACCAGCCAGGTGAGTTGCTCCCAGCAACCCTACCAGCCAGGTGAGTTGCTCCCAGCACCCCACCAGCCAGGCGAGTTGCTCCCAGCACCCCCACCAGCTAGGCGAGTTGCTCCGAGCACCCCAACCAGCCAGGTGAGTTGCTCATAGCATCCCCACCAGCCAGGCGAGTTGCTCCCAGCACCCCCACCAGCCAGGTGAGTTGCTCCCAGCACCCCCACCAGCCAGGTGAGTTGCTCCCAGCACCCCTACCAGCCAGGTGAGTTGCTCCCAGCACCCCCACGAGCTAGGTGAGTTGCTCCCAGCACCCCCACCAGCCAGGTGAGTTGCTCCCACCACCCCCACCAGCCAGGTGAGTTGCTCCCAGCACCCCCACCAGCCAGGTGAGTTGCTCCCAGCACCCCCACCAGCCAGGCGAGTTGCTCCAAGCACCCCCACCAGCCAGGCGAGTTGCTCCCAGCACCCCCACCAGCCAGGCGAGTTGCTCCCAACACCCCCACCAGCCAGGTGAGTTGCTCCCAGCAACCCCACCAGCCAGGTGAGTTGCTCCCAGCACCCCCAACAGCCAGGTGAGTTGCTGTCAGCACCCCCACCAGCCAGGTGAGTTGCTCCCAGCACCCCCACCAGCCAGGCGAGTTGCTCCCAGCACCCCCACCAGCCAAGCGAGTTGCTCCCAGCACCCCCACCAGCCAGGCGAGTTGCTCCCAGCACCTCCACCAGCCAGGTGAGTTGCTCCCAGCACCCCCACTAGCCAGACGAGTTGCTCCTAGCATCCTCACCAGCCAGGTGAGTTGCTCCCAGCACCCCCACCAGCCAGGTGAGTTGCTCCCAGCACCCCCACCAGCCAGGCGAGTTGCTCTCAGCACCCCCACCAGCCAGGTGAGTTGCTCCCAGCACCCCCACTAGCCAGGCGAGTTGCTCCCAGCACCCCCACCAGCCAGGTGAGTTGCTCCTAGCACCCCCACCAGCCAGGTGAGTTGCTCCCAGCACCCCCACCAGCCAGGTGAGTTGCTCCCAACACCCCCACCAGCCAGGTGAGTTGCTCCCAGCACCCCCACCAGCCAGGTGAGTTGCTCCCAGCACCCCCACCAGCCAGGTGAGTTGCTCCCAGCACCCCCACCAGCCAGGTGAGTTGCTCCCAGCACCCCCACCAGCCATGTAAGTTGCTCCCAGCACCCCCACCAGCCAAGCGAGTTGCTCCCAGCACCCCCACCAACCAGGTGAGTTGCTCCCAGCACCCCCACCAGCCAGGTGAGTTGCTCCCAGCACCCCTCCCAGCCAGGCGAGTTGATGGAAAGCAGGAGAATGGGGCGGGGTGATGGAAGGATGGAGAATGGGTCAGGGTGATAGAATGCAGGAGAATGGGGCGGGATGATGGAAAGAGGGAGAATGGGGCGGGGTGATGGAAACTGGGAGAATGGGGCGGGGTGATGGAAAGAGGGAGAATGGGGAGGGGTGATGGAAAGCGGGAGAATGGGACGGGGTGATGAAAAGTTGGAGAATGGGGCGGTGTGATGGAAAGAGGGAGAATGGGGCGGGGTGATGGAAAGCGGGAGAATGGGGCAGGGTGATGGACAGCGGGAGAATGGGGAGGGGTGATGGAAAGCAGGAGAATGGGGCGGGGTGATGGAAAGCGGGAGAATGGGGCGGGGTGATGGAAAACGGGAGAATGGGGCGGGGTGATCGAAAACGGGAGAATGGGGCAGGGTGATGGACAGCGGGAGAATGGGGAGGGGTGATGGAAAGCGGGAGAATGGGGCAGGGTGATGGAAAGAGGGAGAATGGGGCGGGGTGATGGAAAGCGGGAGAATGGGGCGGGGTGATGGAAAGCGGGAGAATGGGGCGGGGTGATGGAAAGAGGGAGAATGGGGAGGGGTGATGGAAAGAGGGAGAATTGGGCGGGGTGATGGAAAGCGGGAGAATGGGGCGGGGTGATGGAAAGCGGGAGAGGGGCGGGGTGATGGAAATCGGGAGAATGGGGCGGGGTGATGAAAAGCGGGAGAATGGGGCGGGGTGATGGAAAGAGGGAGAATGGGGCGGGGTGATGGAAAGCAGGAGAATGGGGCGGGGTGATGGAAAGCAGGAGAATGTGGCGGGGTGATGGAAAGCGGGAGAATGGGGCGGGGTGATGGAAATCGAGAGAATGGGGCGAAGTGATGGAAAGCTGGAGAATGGGACGGGGTGATGGAAATCGGGAGAATGGGGCGGGGTGATGGAAAGCGGGAGAATGGGGCGGAGTGATGGAAAGCGGGAGAATGGGGCGGGGTGATGGAAAGAGGGAGAATGGGGCGGGGTGATGGAAAACGGGAGAATGGGGCGGGGTGATGGAAAGAGGGAGAATGGGGCGGGGTGATGGAAAGCGGGAGAATGGGGCGGGGTGATGGAAAGCGGGAGAATGGGGCGGGGTGATGGAAAGCGGGAGAATGGGGCGGGGTGATGGAAAGAGGGAGAATGGGGCGGGGTGATGGAAAGCGGGAGAATGGGGCGGGGTGATGGAAAGCGGGAGAATGGGGCGGGGTGATGGAAAGAGGGAGAATGGGGCGGGGTGATGGAAGTCGGGAGAATGGGGCGGGGTGATGGAAAGCGGGAGAATTGAGCAGGGTGATGGAAAGATGGAGAATGGGGCGGGGTGATGGAAGGCGGGAAAATGGGGCGGGGTGATGGAAAGAGGGAGAATAGGGAGGGGTGATGGAAAGAGGGAGAATGGGGCGGGGTGATGGAAAGCGGAAGAATGGGACGGGGTGATGAAAAGAGAGAAAATGGGGCAGGGTATAGGGTTTAGGGTTTAGGGTTTAGGGTTTAGGGTGATGGAAAGAGGGAGAATGGGGCGGGATGATGGAAAGAGGGAAAATTGGGCGGGGTGATGGAAAGCGGGAGAATGGGACGGGGTGATGGAAAGCAGTAGAATGGGGTGGGGTGATGGAAAGAGGGAGAATGGTGCGGGGTGATGGAAAGCGGGAGAATGGTGCGGGGTGATGGAAAGAGAGAGGATAGGGCGGGGTGATGGAAAGAGGGAGAATGGGGCAGGGTGATGGAAAGCGGGAGAATGGGGCGGGGTGATGGAAAGCGGGAGAATGGGGCGGGGTGATGGAAAGAGGGAGAATGGGGCGGGGTGATGGAAGGCGGGAGAATGGGGCAGGGTGATGGAAAGAGGGAGAATGGGGCGGGGTGATAGAAAGCATGAGAATGGGGCGGGGTGATGGAAAGAGGGAGAATGGTGCGGGGTGATGGAAAGCGGGAGAATGGTGCGGGGTGATGGAAAGCGGGAGAATAAGGCGGGGTGATAGAAAGCGAGAGAATGGGGCGGGGTGATGGAAAACAGGAGAATGGGACGGGGTGATGGAAAGTGGGAGAATTGGGCGGGGTGATGGAAAGCGGGAGAATGGGGCGGGGTGATGGAAATCGGGAGAATGGGGCGGGGTGATAGAAAGAGGGAGAATAAGGCGGGGTGATGGAAAGAGGGAGAATGGGGCGGGTTGATGGAAAGAGGGAGAATGGGGCGGGGTGATGAAAGGCGGGAGAATGGGGCGGGGTGATGGAAAGCGGGAGAATTGGGCGGGGTGATGGAAAGAGGGAGAATGGGGCGGGGTGATAAAAGACGGGAGAATGGGGCGGGTGATGGAAAGAGGGAGAATGGGGCGGGGTAATGGAAAGCGGGAGAATGGGGCGGGGTGATGGAAAGAGGGAGAATGGGGAGGGGTGATGGAAAGAGGGAGAATTGGGCGGGGTGATGGAAAGCGGGAGAATGGAGCGGGCGGGGTGATGGAAAGCGGGAGAATGGAGCGGGGTGATGGAAAGAGGGAGAATGGGGCGGGTTGATGGAAAGAGGGAGAATGAGGCGGGGTGATGGAAAGCGGGAGAATGGGGCGGGGTGATGGAAAGCGGGAGAATGGGGCGGGGTGATGGAAAGAGGGAGAATGGGGCGGTGTGATGGAAAGCGGGAGAACGGGGCGGGGTGATGGAAAGCGGGAGAATGGGTCGGGGTGATGGAAAGCGGGAGAATGGGGTGGGGTGATGGAAATCGGGAGAATGGGGCGGGGTGATAAAAAGCTGGAGAATGGGGCGGGGTGATGGAAAGAAGGAGATTGGGGCGGGGTGATGGAAGGCGGGAGAATGGGGCGGGGTGATGGAAAGAGGGAGAACAGGGAGGGGTGATGGAAAGCGAGAGAATGGGGCGAGGTGATGGAAACAGGAAGAATGGGGCGGGGTGATGGAAAGAGGGAGAAGGGGCGAGGTGATGGAAACAGGGAGAATGGGGTGGGGTGACGGAAAGAGGGAGAATGGGACGGGGTGATGGAAAGAAGGAGAATGGGGTGGGGAGATGGAAAGAGGGAGAATGGAGAGGGGTGATGGAAAGCGGGAGATTTGGGCGCGGTGATGGAAAGCAGGAGAATGGGGCGGGGTGATGGAAAGCGGGAGAATGGGGCGGGGTGATGGATAGAGGGAGAATGGGGCGGGGTGATGGAAAGCAGGAGAATGGGGCGGGGTAATGGAAAGAGGGAGAATGGGGCGGGGTGATGGAAAGAGGGAGAATGGGGCGGGGTGATGGAAAGCAGGAGAATGGGGCGGGGTGATGGAAAGAGGGAGAATGGGAAGGGGTGATAGAAAGAGGGAGAATTGGGCGGGGTGATGGAAAGCGGGACAATGGAGCCGGGTGATGGAAAGCGGGAGAATGGGGCGGAGTGATGGAAAGAGGGAGAATGGGGCGGGTGATGGAAAGAGGTTAAATGGCGCGGGGTGATGGAAAGCGGGAGAATGGGGCGGGGTGATGGAAAGAGGGAGAATGGGGCGGGGTGATGGAAAGAGGGAGAATGGGGCGGGGTGATGGAAAGCGGGAGAATGGGTCGGGGTGATGGAAAGAGGGAGAATGGGGCGGGGTGATGGAAAGAGGGAGAATGGGGCGGGGTGACGGAAAGCTGGAGAATGGGGCGGGGTGATGGAAAGAGGGAGAATGGGGCGGGGTGATGGAAAGAGGGAGAATGGGACGGGGTGATGGAAAGAGGGAGAATGGGGCGGGGTGATGGAAGACGGGAGAATGGGGTGGGGTGATGGAAGGCGGGAGAATTGGGCAGGGTGATGGAAAGATGGAGAATGGGGCGGGGTGATGGAAGGCGGGAGAGTGGGGCGGGGTGATATAAAGATGGAGAATGGGGCGGGGTGATGGAAAGAGGGAGAATGGGGCGGGGTGACGGAAAGCTGGAGAATGGGGCGGGGTGATGGGAAGAGGGAGAATGGGGCGGGGTGATGGAAAGAGGGAGAATGGGGCGGGGAGATGCAAAGAGGAAGAATGGGGCGGGGTGATGGAAAGCGGGAGAATGGGGCGGGGTGATGGAAAGAGGGAGAATGGGACGGGGTGATGGAAAGCGGGAGAATGGGGCGGGGTGATGAAAAGCGGGAGAATGGGGCGTGGGGATGGAAAGCGAGAGAATGGGGCGGGGTGATGGGAAGAGGGAGAAAGGGGCGGGGTGATGGAAAGTGGGAGAATGGGGCGGGGTGATGGAAAGAGGGAGAATGGGGCGGGGTGATGGAAAGCGGGAGAATGGGGCGGGGTGATGGAAAGAGGGAGAATGGGGCAGGGAGATGGAAAGAGGAAGAATGGGGCGGGGTGATGGAAAGCGGGAGAATGGGGCGGGGTGATGGAAAGAGGGAGAATGGGACGGGGTGATGGAAAGCGGGATAATGGGGCGGGGTGATGAAAAGCGGGAGAATGGGGCGGGGTGATGGAAAGCGAGAGAATGGGGCGGGGTGATGGGAAGAGGGAGAATGGGGCGGAGTGATGGAAAGCAGGAGAATGGGGCGGGGTGATGGAAAGCGGGAGAATGGGGCGGGGTGATGGAAAGCGGGAGAACGGGGCGGGGTGATGGAAAGAGGGAGAATGGGGCGGGGTTATGGAAAGCGGGAGAATGGGGCGGGGTGATGGAAAGAGGGAGAATGGGGCGGGGTGATAAAAATCGGGAGAATGGGGCGGGGTGATGGAAAGAGGGGAGGATGGGGTGGGGTGATGGAACGCAAAAGAATGGGGCGGGGTGATGGAAAGCGGGAGAGTGGGACAAGGTGATGGAAAGCGGGAGAATTGGGTGGGGTGATGGATAGAGGGAGAATGGGGCAGGGTGATGGAAAGAGGGAGAATGGGGCGGGGTGATGGAAAGAGGGAGAATTGGTCGAGGTGATGGAAAGCGGGAGAATGGGGCGGGGTGATGGAAAGAGGGAGAATGGGGCGGGGTGATGGAAAGAGGGAGAATGGGGCGGGGTGATGGAAAGCGGGAGAATGGGGCGGGGTGATGGAAAAAGGGAGAATGAGGAGGGGTGATGGAAAGAGGGAGAATTGGGCGGGGTGATGGAAAGCGGGAGAATGGGGCGGGGTGATGGAAAGAGGGAGAATGGGGCGGGGTGATGGAAAGAGGGAGAATGGGGCGGGGTGATGGAAAGCGGGAGAATGGGGCGGGGTGATGGAAAGAGGGAGAATGGGGCGGGGTGATAAAAATCGGGAGAATGGGGCGGGGTGATGGAAAGAGGGGAGGATGGGGTGGGGTGATGGAACGCAAAAGAATGGGGCGGGGTGATGGAAAGCGGGAGAATGGGACGAGGTGATGGAAAGCGGGAGAATTGGGTGGGGTGATGGATAGAGGGAGAATGGGGCAGGGTGATGGAAAGAGGGAGAATGGGGCGGGGTGATGGAAAGAGGGAGAATTGGTCGAGGTGATGGAAAGCGGGAGAATGGGGCGGGGTGATGGAAAGAGGGAGAATGGGGCGGGGTGATGGAAAGAGGGAGAATGGGGCGGGGTGATGGAAAGCGGGAGAATGGGGCGGGGTGATGGAAAAAGGGAGAATGGGGAGGGGTGATGGAAAGAGGGAGAATTGGGCGGGGTGATGGAAAGCGGGAGAATGGGGCGGGGTGATGGAAAGAGGGAGAATGGGGCGGGGTGATGGAAAGAGGGAGAATGGGGCGGGGTGATGGAAAGCGGGAGAATGGGGCGGGGTGATGGAAAGAGGGAGAATGGGGCGGGGTGATAAAAATCGGGAGAATGGGGCGGGGTGATGGAAAGAGGGGAGGATGGGGTGGGGTGATGGAACGCAAAAGAATGGGGCGGGGTGATGGAAAGCGGGAGAATGGGACGAGGTGATGGAAAGCGGGAGAATTGGGTGGGGTGATGGATAGAGGGAGAATGGGGCAGGGTGATGGAAAGAGGGAGAATGGGGCGGGGTGATGGAAAGAGGGAGAATTGGTCGAGGTGATGGAAAGCGGGAGAATGGGGCGGGGTGATGGAAAGAGGGAGAATGGGGCGGGGTGATGGAAAGAGGGAGAATGGGGCGGGGTGATGGAAAGCGGGAGAATGGGGCGGGGTGATGGAAAAAGGGAGAATGGGGAGGGGTGATGGAAAGAGGGAGAATTGGGCGGGGTGATGGAAAGCGGGACAATGGAGCGGGATGATGGAAAGCGAGAGAATGGGGCGGGGTGATGGAAAGCGGGAGAATGGGGCGGGGTGATGGAAAGAGGGAAAATGGCGCGGGGTGATGGAAAGTGGGAGAATGGGGCGGGGTGATGGAAAGAGGGAGAATGGGGCGGGGAGATGGAAAGAGGGAGAATGGGGCGGGGTGATGGAAAGCGAGAGAATGGGGCGGGGTGATGGAAAGAGGGAGAATGGGGCGGGGTGATGGAAAGCGGGAGAATGGGGCGGGGTGATGGAAAGCGGGAGAATCGGGCGGGGTGATGGAAAGCGGGAGAATGGGGCGGGGTGATGAAAGGCGGGAGAATGGGGCGGGGTGATGAAAGGCGGGAGAATGGGGCGGGGTGATGGAAAGAGGGAGAATGGGGCGGGGTGATGGAAAGAGGGAGAATGGGGAGGGGTGATGGAAAGAGGGAGAATTGGGCGGGGTGATGGAAAGCGGGAGAATGGAGTGGGCGGGGTGATAGAAAGCGGGAGAATGGGCCGGGGTGATGGAAAGCGAGAGAACGGGACGCGGTGATGGAAAGCGGGAGAATGGGGCGGGGTGATGGAAAGCGGGAGAATGGGGCGGGGTGATGGAAAGCGGGAGAATGGGGCGGGGTGATGGAAAGCGGGAGAATGGGGCGGGGTGATGGAAAGCGGGAGAATGGGGTGGGGTGATGGAAAGCGGGAGAATGGGGCAGGGTGATGGAAAGCGGGAGAATGGGGCGGGGTGATGGAAAGAGGGAGAATGGGGCGGGGTGATGGAAGGCGGAAGAATGGGGCGGGGTGATGGAAAGCGGGAGAATTGAGCAGGGTGATGGAAAGATGGAGAATGGGGCGGGGTGATGGAAGGCGGGAGAATGGGGCGGGGTGATGGAAAGAGGGAGAATGGGGCGGGGTGATAGAAAGCAGGAGAATGGGGCGGGGTGATGGAAAGCAGGAGAATGGGGCGGGGTGATGGAAAGAGGGAGAATGGGGCGGGGTGATGGAAAGCGTGAGAATGGGGCGGGGTGATGGAAAGAGGGAGAATGGGGAGGGGTGATGGAAGGCGGGAGAATGGGGCGGGGTGATGGGAAGCGGGAGAATTGGGCGGGGTGATGGAAAGCGGGAGAATGGGGCGGGGTGATGAAAGGCGGGAGAATGGGGCGGGGTGATGGGAAGAGGGAGAATGGGGCGGGGTGATGGAAAGCAGGAGAATGGGGCGTAGTGATGGAAAGAGGGAAAATGGGGCGGGGTGATGGAAAGAGGGAGAATGGGGCGGGGTGATGGAAATCGGGAGAATGGGGCGGGGTGATGGAAAGCGGGAGAATGGGGCGGGGTGATGGAAAGAGGGAGAATGGGGTGGGGTGATAGAAAGCAGGAGAATGGGGCGGGGTGATGGAAAGAGGGAAAATGGGGAGGGGTGATGGAAAGAGTGAGAATGGGGCGGGGTGATGGAAAGTGGGAGAATGAGGCGGGGTGTTGGAAAGCGGGAGAATGGGGCGGGGTGATGGAAAGCGGGAGAATGGGGCGGGGTCATGGAAAGCGGGAGAATGGGGCGGGGTGATGGAAATCGGGACAATGGGGCGGGGTGATGGAAAGAGGGGAGGATGGGGTGGGGTGATGGAACGCAAAAGAATGGGGCGGGGTGATGGAAAGCGGGAGAATGGGACGGGGTGATGGAAAGCGGGAGAATTGGGTGGGGTGATGGATAGAGGGAGAATGGGGCAGGGTGATGGAAAGAGGGAGAATGGGGCGGGGTGATGGAAAGAGGGAGAATTGGTTGAGGTGATGGAAAGTGGGAGAATGGGGCGGGGTGATGGAAAGAGGGAGAATGGGGCGGGGTGATGGAAAGAGGGAGAATGGGGCGGGGTGATGGAAAGCGGGAGAATGGGGCGGGGTGATGGAAAAAGGGAGAATGGGGAGGGGTGATGGAAAGAGGGAGAATTGGGCGGGGTGATGGAAAGCGGGACAATGGAGCGGGATGATGGAAAGCGAGAGAATGGGGCGGGGTGATGGAAAGTGGGAGAATGGGGCGGAGTGATGGAAAGAGGGAAAATGGCGCGGGGTGATGGAAAGTGGGAGAATGGGGCGGGGTGATGGAAAGAGGGAGAATGGGGCGGGGTGATGGAAAGAGGGAGAATGGGGCGGGGTGATGGAAAGCGAGAGAATGGGGCGGGGTGATGGAAAGAGGGAGAATGGGGCGGGGTGATGGAAAGCGGGAGAATGGGGCGGGGTGATGGAAAGCGGGAGAATTGGGCGGGGTGATGGAATGCGGGAGAATGGGGCGGGGTGATGAAAGGCGGGAGAATGGGGCGGGGTGATGAAAGGCGGGAGAATGGGGCGGGGTGATGGAAAGAGGGAGAATGGGGCGGGGTGATGGAAAGAGGGAGAATGGGGCGGGGTGATGGAAAGCAAGAGAATGGGGCGGGGTGATGGAAAGAGGGAGAATGGGGCGGGGTGATGGAAAGAGGGAGAATGGGGCGGGGTGATGGAAAGCGGGAGAATTGGGCGGGGTGATGGAAAGCGGGAGAATGGGGCGGGGTGATGAAAGGCGGGAGAATGGGGCGGGGTGATGAAAGGCGGGAGAATGGGGCGGGGTGATGGAAAGAGGGAGAATGGGGCGGGGTGATGGAGAGAGGGAGAATGGGGAGGGGTGATGGAAAGAGGGAGAATTGGACGGGGTGATGGAAAGCCGGAGAATGGAGCGGGCGGGGTGATAGAAAGCGGGAGAATGGGCCGGGGTGATGGAAAGCGAGAGAACGGGACGGGGTGATGGAAAGCGGGAGAATGGGGCGGGGTGATGGAAAGCGGGAGAATGGGGCGGGGTGATGGAAAGCGGGAGAATGGGGCGGGGTGATGGAAAGCGGGAGAATGGGGCGGGGTGATGGAAAGCGGGAGAATGGGGTGGGGTGATGGAAAGCGGGAGAATGGGGCGGGGTGATGGAAAGCGGGAGAATCGGGCGGGGTGATGGAAAGAGGGAGAATTGGTCGAGGTGATGGAAAGCGGGAGAATGGGGCGGGGTGATGGAAAGAGGGAGAATGGGGCGGGGTGATGGAAAGAGGGAGAATGGGGCGGGGTGATGGAAAGCGGGAGAATGGGGCGGGGTGATGGAAAAAGGGAGAATGGGGAGGGGTGATGGAAAGAGGGAGAATTGGGCGGGGTGATGGAAAGCGGGACAATGGAGCGGGATGATGGAAAGCGAGAGAATGGGGCGGGGTGATGGAAAGCGGGAGAATGGGGCGGAGTGATGGAAAGAGGGGAAATGGCGCGGGGTGATGGAAAGTGGGAGAATGGGGCGGGGTGATGGAAAGAGGGAGAATGGGGCGGGGTGATGGAAAGAGGGAGAATGGGGCGGGGTGATGGAAAGCGAGAGAATGGGGCGGGGTGATGGAAAGAGGGAGAATGGGGCGGGGTGATGGAAAGCGGGAGAATGGGGCGGGGTGATGGAAAGCGGGAGAATTGGGCGGGGTGATGGAAAGCGGGAGAATGGGGCGGGGTGATGAAAGGCGGGAGAATGGGGCGGGGTGATGAAAGGCGGGAGAATGGGGCGGGGTGATGGAAAGAGGGAGAATGGGGCGGGGTGATGGAAAGCGGGAGAATGGGGCGGGGTGATGGAAAAAGGGAGAATGGGGAGGGGTGATGGAAAGAGGGAGAATTGGGCGGGGTGATGGAAAGCGGGACAATGGAGCGGGATGATGGAAAGCGAGAGAATGGGGCGGGGTGATGGAAAGCGGGAGAATGGGGCGGAGTGATGGAAAGAGGGGAAATGGCGCGGGGTGATGGAAAGTGGGAGAATGGGGCGGGGTGATGGAAAGAGGGAGAATGGGGCGGGGTGATGGAAAGAGGGAGAATGGGGAGGGGTGATGGAAAGAGGGAGAATTGGGCGGGGTGATGGAAAGCGGGAGAATGGAGCGGGCGGGGTGATAGAAAGCGGGAGAATGGGCCGGGGTGATGGAAAGCGAGAGAACGGGACGGGGTGATAAAAAGCGGGAGAATGGGGCGGGGTGATAGAAAGCGGGAGAATGGGGCGGGGTGATGGAAAGCGGGAGAATGGGGCGGGGTGATGGAAAGCGGGAGAATGGGGCGGGGTGATGGAAAGCGGGAGAATGAGGTGGGGTGATGGAAAGCGGGAGAATGGGGCGGGGTGATGGAAAGCGGGAGAATGGGGCGGGGTGATGGAAAGCGGGAGAATGGGGCGGGGTGATGGAAAGAGGGAGAATGGGGCGGGGTGATGGAAGGCGGGAGAATGGGGCAGGGTGATGGAAAGCGGGAGAATTGAGCAGGGTGATGGAAAGATGGAGAATGGGGCAGGGTGATGGAAGGCGGGAGAATGGGGCGGGGTGATGGAAAGAGGGAGAATGGGGTGGGGTGATAGAAAGCAGGAGAATGGGGCGGGGTGATGGAAAGAGGGAGAATGGGGAGAGGTGATGGAAAGCGGGAGAATGGGGCGGGCTGTTGGAAAGCAGGAGAATGGGGCGGGGTGATGGAAAGCGGGAGAATGGGGCGGGGTGATGGAAATTGGGAGAATGGGGCGGGGTGATGGAAAGTGGGAGAATAAAGCGGGGTGATGGAAAGCGAGAGAATGGAGCGGGGTGATGGAAAACGGGAGAATGGGACGGGGTGATGGAAAGTGGGAGAATTGGGCGGAGTGATGGATAGAGGGAGAATGGGGCGGGGTGATGGAAAGCGGGAGAATGGGGCGGGGTGATGGAAAGAGGGAGAATGGGGCGGGGTGATGGAAAGCGTGAGAATGGGGCGGGGTGATGGAAAGAGGGAGAATGGGGCGGGGTGATGGAAGGCGGGAGAATGGGGCGGGGTGATGGGAAGCGGGAGAATTGGGCGGGGTGATGGAAAGCGGGAGAATGGGGCGGGGCGATGAAAGGCGGGAGAATGGGGCGGGGTGATGGGAAGAGGGAGAATGGGGCGGGGTGATGGAAAGCGGGAGAATGGGGCGGGGTGATGGAAAGAGGGAAAATGGGGCGGGGTGATGGAAAGCGGGAGAATGGGGCGGGGTGATGGAAAGAGGGAGAATGGGGCGGGGTGATGGAAAGTGGGAGAATGGGGCGGGGATATGGAAAGCGGGAGAATGGGGCGGGGTGATGGAAAGCGGGAGAATGGGGCGGGGTGATGGAAAGAGGGAGAATGGGGCGGGGTGATGGAAGGCGGGAGAATGGGGCGGGGTGATGGAAAGAGGGAAAATGGGGCGGGGTGATGGAAAGCGGGAGAATGGGGCGGGGTGATGGAAAGAGGGAGAATGGGGCGGGGTGATGGAAAGCGGGAGAATGGGGCGGGGTGATGGAAAGCGGGAGAATTGGGCGGGGTGATGGAAAGCGGGAGAATGGGGCGGGGTGATGAAAGCGGGAGAATGGGGCGGGAGAATGGGGCGGGGTGATGAAAGGCGGGAGAATGGGGCGGGGTGATGGAAAGAGGGAAAATGGGGCGGGGTGATGGAAAGAGGGAGAATGGGGAGGGGTGATGGAAAGAGGGAGAATTGGGCGGGGTGATGGAAAGCGGGAGAATGGAGCGGGCGGGGTGATAGAAAGCGGGAGAATGGTCCGGGGTGATGGAAAGCGAGAGAACGGGACCGGGTGATGGAAAGCGGGAGAATGGGGCGGGGTGATGGAAAGCGGGAGAATGGGGCGGGGTGATGGAAAGCGGGAGAATGGGGCGGGGTGATGGAAAGCGGGAGAATGGGGCGAGGTGATGGAAAGCGGGAGAATGGGGTGGGGTGATGGAAAGCGGGAGAATGGGGCGGGGTTATGGAAAGCAGGAGAATGGGGCGGGGTGATGGAAAGCGGGAGAATGGGGCGGGGTGATGGAAAGAGGGAGAATGGGGCGGGGTGATGGAAGGCGGGAGAATGGGGCAGGGTGATGGAAAGCGGGAGAATTGAGCAGGGTGATGGAAAGATGGAGAATGGGGCGGGGTGATGGAAGGCGGGAGAATGGGGCGGGGTGATGGAAAGAGGGAGAATGGGGTGGGGTGATAGAAAGTAGGAGAATGGGGCGGGGTGATGGAAAGAGGGAGAATGGGGCGGGGTGATGGAAGGCGGGAGAATGGGGCGGGGTGATGGGAAGCGGGAGAATTGGGCGGGGTGATGGAAAGCGGGAGAATGGGGCGGGGTGATGAAAGGCGGGAGAATGGGGCGGGGTGATGGGAAGAGGGAGAATCGGGCGGGGTGATGGAAAGCGGGAGAATGGTGCGGGGTGATGGAAAGCGGGAGAATGGGGCGGGGTGATGGAAAGAGGGAGAATGGGGCAGGGTGATGGAAAGTGGGAGAATGGGGCGGGGTGATGGAAAGCGGGAGAATGGGGCGGGGTGATGGAAAGCGGGAGAATGGGGCGGGGTGATGGAAAGAGGGAGAATGGGGCGGGGTGATGGAAGACGGGAGAATGGGGCGGGGTGATGGAAAGAGGGAAAATGGGGCGGGGTGATGGAAAGCGGGAGAATGGGGCGGGGTGATGGAAAGCGGGAGAATGGGGCGAGGGTGAGTGAAAGAGGGAAAATGGGGCGGGGTGATGGGAAGAGGGAAAATGGGGCGGGGTGATGGAAAGTAGGAGAATGGGGCGGGGTGATGGAAAGAGGGAGAATGGGGCGGGGTGATGGAAAGCGGGAGAATGGGGCGTGGTGATGGAAAGCGGGAGAATGGGGCGGGGTGATGGAAAGCAGGAGAATGGGGCGGGGTGATGGAAAGCGGGAGAATGGGGCGGGGTGATGGAAAGCGGGAGAATGGGGCGGTGTGATGGAAGGCGGGAGAATGGGGCAGGGTGATGGAAAGCGGGAGAATTGAGCAGGGTGATGGAAAGATGGAGAATGGGGCGGGGTGATGGAAGGCGGGAGAATGGGGCGGGGTGATGGAAAGAGGGAGAATGGGGTGGGGTGATAGAAAGCAGGAGAATGGGGCGGGGTGATGGAAAGAGGGAGAATGGGGAGAGGTGATGGAAAGCGGGAGAATGGGGCGGGCTGTTGGAAAGCAGGAGAATGGGGCGGGGTGATGGAAAGCGGGAGAATGGGGCGGGGTGATGGAAATTGGGAGAATGGGGCGGGGTGATGGAAAGTGGGAGAATAAAGCGGGGTGATGGAAAGCGAGAGAATGGGGCGGGGTGATGGAAAACGGGAAAATGGGACGGGGTGATGGAAAGTAGGAGAACTGGGCGGGGTGATGGATAGAGGGAGAATGGGGCGGGGTGATGGAAAGCGGGAGAATGGGGCGGGGTGATGGAAAGAGGGAGAATGGGGCGGGGTGATGGAAAGCGTGAGAATGGGGCGGGGTGATGGAAAGAGGGAGAATGGGGCGGGGTGATGGAAGGCGGGAGAATGGGGCGGGGTGATGGGAAGCGGGAGAATTGGGCGGGGTGATGGAAAGCTGGAGAATGGGGCGGGGTGATGAAAGGCGGGAGAATGGGGCGGGGTGATGGGAAGAGGGAGAATCGGGCGGGGTGATGGAAAGCGGGAGAATGGGGCGGGGTGATGGAAAGCGGGAGAATGGGGCGGGGTGATGGAAAGAGGGAGAATGGGGCAGGGTGATGGAAAGTGGGAGAATGGGGCGGGGTGATGGAAAGCGGGAGAATGGGGCGGGGTGATGGAAAGCGGGAGAATGGGGCGGGGTGATGGAAAGAGGGAGAATGGGGCGGGGTGATGGAAGACGGGAGAATGGGGCGGGGTGATGGAAAGAGGGAAAATGGGGCGGGGTGATGGAAAGCGGGAGAATGGGGCGGGGTGATGGAAAGCGGGAGAATGGGGCGAGGGTGAGTGAAAGAGGGAAAATGGGGCGGGGTGATGGGAAGAGGGAAAATGGGGCGGGGTGATGGAAAGTAGGAGAATGGGGCGGGGTGATGGAAAGAGGGAGAATGGGGCGGGGTGATGGAAAGCGGGAGAATGGGGCGTGGTGATGGAAAGCGGGAGAAAGGGGCGGGGTGATGGAAAGCAGGAGAATGGGGCGGGGTGATGGAAAGCGGGAGAATGGGGCGAGGTGATGGAAAGCGGGAGAATGGGGCGGGGTGATGGAAAGAGGGAGAATGGGGCGGGGTGATGGAAATCGGGAGAATGGGGCGGGGTGATGGAAAGCGGGAGAATGGGGCGGGGTGATGGAAAGAGGGAGAATGGGGCGGGGTGATAGAAAGCAGGAGAATGGGGCGGGGTGATGGAAAGAGGGAGAATGGGGAGGGGTGATTGCACCAACAATCCGAGGGGGAGTTTGTTGGTGCAACCTACGGTTTGCACTCGGCTTGTTGTCCGTGTGCGTGCATGCGTGTGTGCATGGAATGGTATGAGGGCATGGGATAATATATATTTCATGCTTATAACAGTGTGTGTATGATGGGTAATGATATTGAGTGTGTGTGTCAAGTCAATAGCGAGTTATCGTTAGTCGCGTGTAACGCGGTCATTTTGTGTGTCCCGCGCGGTTTCTATTTTGTCGTGCGCGGTTTCTATTTTGTCGCTTGTCGAACGTTCGGCGTGTCGCAGGTGTGTGCAGCAGACCCATCAAGAACTCAAGGATGAGTTTGTGATGAAGAACCCGAGCCCTGGTGTCAACATTCAAGTGTTCGCAAAGTCCGCGAAAAGGGTACACCTCAAGATATCAAGATTCGTTACATTACAACGTGTAGTGTAACATTTCAGTTGGTGTAGACCCTAGTGAAGGGTAGTTTCGAGACCCTTCGTGGTTGGGGACAGTGTGGCACTGTTCCACATCACTGTACCTCGGCTCTTGGGGTTTGTAGGAGCTGGGAGTCATTCCCAACTCGTAACTCTTGCTAACTCTTCCTAAGTTGCGTTCTAAGACTATGTTGCTGCCATAGTGCTGTTCGTTCAAACCGTCGCTGTGTCGTCAAATCTTGATGATATCGTGCGATCTAAATTGCTTATTGTAGGCGACGTTACGGAGCTCCAGATCCAAGTTGAATGAAGTCATTTGGAGTTGTGAGCAGATCGCTATGAACGTTTTAAAGCCGCTGTGCAGAAATCTGACTGTGCACTCTATCCTTAGTTTTAGGCACATTGAAGCCTACTGTGACTATAACAAGTGGTATCAGAGCCCCTTGGAGCAGCTACGACTATGACTGGACCTGGAGAAAGGGGTGGCAGAGGTGCTGGTGGCAATGGAGATGCCCAAGCACAAGGCCAAGCCCGTGATTCAGCCGTGGCGCCCGTGCAACCTACTCTTGGACCTTCTAGGGATGAACCAAGAGCGTTCGGGCTTGACAAGTTCAACGGCGACAACTTTGATGAATGGTCCTTCAGAATGGAGAACGTGTTCGACCATTATGACCTGCTGGAGGTGATGGAAGGAACGGAGAAGCGTCCCGAGAACGACCCGGAGAAGAGCCCGTGGGTGCGGAAGAGCGGCACAAGGCTATCTTCTACTTGGGCAAGCGTTGGGGAGCAACCAGATCCGTCACATCAAGCCTTTCCAGCATGAACCAGAGAAAGGACCAAAGGCATGGGCTGCTCTCAAGGGTGTACACGCTCCTGCAACAGCGGCGGTAGCTGTGGTGTTGGAACGGCAAATGGCGACGCTACGAATTGAGGAAGATGAACCCGTGGAAGACGGGGTGCAGAGATTCTTCGACTTGTTGACGCGGCTAGAGGGAGCTGATTTGAACTACAGTGAGCTCCAGAAGAAGACCAAGTTGCTGGCCTTACTCCCCGAGTCGTGGTCCTCGCTCATCATCAATTTGAACCGTGACCTGCCCCGTCTCTCGCTTGAAGGCGTGAAGCGCGCGATCCTACAAGAGGACTTCCGCCGCCGTGAGTTGGCGAGTGCGGATGGCGCTGGGGCAGCTAGCGTCGGCCGTGGATATGGCCGAGGAAGAGGAAGATCTGGTGGCGGCAACTTCAGTGGAGGCCGCGGGAACGGCAGTTACGGCAGCGACGACAAGAGCTACGGACGCGGTCGCGGTCGATTCGACGGCGAATGTCATTATTGCGGCAAGAGCGGACATATGTGGCGCGATTGCTTCAAACTCCCTGAAGGATGGACCCCTGCTCAAGGCCAAGAGGGTAAAGGAGCAGGAGGAGGGAGAGGAAGAGGCCGTGGAGGCCGTGGCGGTCGCGGTGGCGGTGCTGCAAATGTGAAGAGCGAAGATAACGACAAGGACCCGAGCGGCGATCGGTACCCGGGCCTATTCTACTTCGTGTCGACGCAAGTACCGGCTGGTCCAGAGAAGGATGAAGACCTTGAGGAGCCAGCAGCTGTAGGGAAGGTGACCCTACACCCCCTGGACTATTGGGTGATCGACAGTGGCGCTACCTATAGCATGACACCTCGCCCGGACTTGCTCACCGAACTTGAACCGTCATCGGTGAAGCATGTCACATCGGCTTTGGGGCAGCGAGCAGAGGTAAAAGGCATGGGGAAGGCCATGTTCAAGGGTGCTGATGGGAAGATGGTGGGCCTCAAGAACGTGCTTTGGGTGCCCAGCCTTGCTGCAAACCTGATTTCCGTGCGGCGGTTGGCGAAGGCCGGCATGGACACGAACTCGAAGGGGGCCAAGACCTACACCGCAAGGATTGGTGACCGGATTCTTTGGGACCTTCATGAGGATAGGGATGTCTACAACGAGATGTGGCAGATCCCTGTGGTCCCTATGCCTAAGGAGAGGCAAGTGGCAGCAAGCGTCAGCACCAACGGAGAAGCGCTTGGTAGCGGCGATGGCGCGAACGGTCGCGCTAAGGAGAACGAGCTCAAGAAGAGCAAACCTGGAGGGACCAGCAAGCTGTATGGTCCTAAGGAGAGTGGTGCAGCAGCCAAGGAGCAGCACAAGGGTGAGGAGAACCCCGAGGCAGCAGCGGAGGAGGAGTACGGAGAGAGCATGTGGGGCGCTATTGCGAGCGCGGCATTCTCCAATCCGACTTCAGCTACGGGGGAGTGTGATTGGTTGACTTTGCATCGGCGCATGGGGCATGTGGCCCTGCCCATCTTGCAGCAGCTAGTGAAGAACCAGATGGTTGCTGGCATACGTGTGAAGGCGGAGCCCGATGAGGTGCTTGGCTGCCCGACGTGCATGCAAGCCAAGTTCACGCGGTTTCCGTTCTCGAGCTCGGAGACAACGGCTAAGGCACCACTTGATGAGGTGGTGATGGACGTGGTGGGCCCCCTGAAGCTTGGAGCTGCTGGAGCTAAGTATTTCCTCACCATTGTCGACGTCTACACCCGCATGACTTGGGTGTACGTGCTGGCCAAGAAGAGCGACGTGGCTGAAACATTGAAGACGGATTGGTTCCCGATGGTGGAGCGGCAACAAGACCGTCTAGTGAAGTCGATCCGCACCGATCGAGGGGGAGAGTTCCTGAGCAAGGAGTTTGGGTTGTGGCTGAAGAAGAATGGCATTCGGCACTCCCTCACCATGCCATACTCCCCTGCAATGAACGGCATCGCCGAGCGAGCGAACCGGACGATCACGGAGGCGGCACGCGGGTTGCTCATTGAAGCCAGGCTACCCGACTACTTCTGGCCTGATGCGGTGCGGAGCGCGTGTGTGGCCAAGAACAGAGTCTTGACTCATGTGGGAGCAGACAAATGGGTGCCTTATGTGGAGTGGCTTGGAAGGAAGCCAAAGGTGGATATGCTTTGGGTGTTCGGGTGCATGTGCATGGCGCTCGTACCTAAGCATCTTCGGCACAACAAGCTTGGTGCCAAGGCGGTGTGGGCCGTGCACTTGGGCATGGCTCAAAACAGCAAGGGGTGGCTCCTTTGGGACCCATTCACCAAGAAGTTCATGGTGAGCAGGGACTGCAAGTTCATGGAGAACTTCATGTACTAAGATTGGAAGGCGGAGAATGAGGCGAAGATTAGCGTTCGGTTTGGAGAGGTGAAGAACTCCGGTTTGGAGCATGTGGAGCTGCCTTTGGAGCTGAGCAGCGGCAGCACTACCACAAGGCAATCTTCCCTTGTGAATGGGGGAGAGGAGGCCAGGGATGCAGAGGAAGAAGAGGAGGAGGTGCAGCAAGTGAGCGAGCGTGCACCGACACTTCCTTCCCGCACTACGAGTGCTCCACGGATTTGAGCCACACCGCAGCAACGCCAAGGCCTTCAAGTCGCTGCAGCTGAGGAGGAAGGAAGGGTCAAGAGGAGATTCCAAGCCCCCAATAGGCTGACCTATGATGCACCGGGGAAGCAGGGCAAGACGGCCCTAGCTGGAGCGGCAATGATGGTTGGAGACGACGAGGAGAGTGACTACGAGGAGTGTGCCTTCGCTTTATTCTCTCCCAGTGGAGATGCCGGGAGAACCAGCAACTCTCAAGGAGGCCTTGGAGAGTGATGATGCTGAGGAGTGGAAGAAGGCAATGGAGAATGAGCTGAAGAGCATTGAGGAGAGCGACACGTACGAGTTGGTGGAGCTACCGGAGGGGCGTACGGCGATTACGTCCAAGTGGCTCTTCAAGATCAAGTCGGATGCCGATGGCGTGATCGAGCGCTACAAGTCTCGGCTGGTGGCCAAGGGGTACCAGCAGAAGGAGAAGGTGGACTTCAAGGAGTTGTTTGCTCCTGTAGTGAAGCCGACGACGCTGCGAACCCTATTCGTGGGAGCCGCGATCAAAGGTTGGGTGGTGAAGCAGCTAGACATCGTAACGGCGTTCCTCAACGGGATTCTTGAGGAGGAAATCTTTATGGCGCAGCCGGAGGGGTTTGATGATGGTAGTGGCAGAGTGTGGAAGCTGAAGAAGGCCCTCTATGGGCTGAAGCAGGCCCCAAGCCAATGGTACATGAAGCTGCGCGAAGTGTTGGAGGGGATCGGCTTCACTCCCTCAACGGCCGATCACTCCTTGTTCATGCTTGGCGAGGGAGAGCAGAGGAGCTTCATGGTGGTTTATGTGGACGAAATTCTCATATTCTCACCCTCCTCTGACCTTGTGAAGGAGGTGATGCTGAAACTTCATGACAAGTTCAAGTGCAAGTCCCTTGGGGACGTGAACTTCTACCTCGGGCTCCACATCGAACGTGACGTGGAGAAGCGGTGCATGCGGGTGCTCCAACGGAAGTACCTGGAGGCGTTGGCTGCCAACTTTGGCCAGAATGAAGGCCATGTGGCTACACCCTTTCCCTCTGGGTTCAAGTGTGTGAAGGGACCAGAGGAGGAGAGCGTGGGTGAAGAGGAGAGGCGCCGTTTTCACTCGTTGGTGGGCAGCCTCATGTATGCGGCGGTCAACACACGACCGGATGTCGCGTTTGCTACCGGGCAGCTGGCTAGGGTTGTGCAATGCCCTAATGAGGAGCAGGTAGCAGCTGGAATGAGGGTGGCCAAGTACCTTGGCCAAACACCGACCGTTGGGCTGCAATACTCGGCGGCGGCGCAAAGGCGCCAAAAGGGCGCGGATGGTGTGGAACTCGGGCGGTTGTTCCTCACCGCCTACTCGGATGCTTCATATGCATCAGAACCAGAGGACATGACAAGTGTGGGAGGCTTCATCTGCTGTGTTGGTGGAAGCCCTACTGCTTGGGAGAGCAAGAAGCAGGTGGACCAAGCATTGAGCTCGGTGGAA